ACTTTTTTTGTTTGTTTGTTTATATAATTCCTAAACAAATTTAGTTTTTCTAATTTTATTTCATTCCCACAACTGCTTTTGTCCAGACATTGCTCAAAACTGGAGAACTCCTTTGCTACAATAGTGCAACAAACATTCTGTTCAAAATGTTGAGAGGGGAGAAAAAATTAAACAGGGCAGTGCTGTCTGTCACAGCAGTCTGTCCTGGATGCTTTGTCTTTGAATGTTTATGTAGTAGTTACACGAGTGTGATCAGCAATATATATCTTGCAGTGCTTACAGAACATCTAACATACCACCACGCTTTAGGTTAGAATGGGTGAGCTTTTAAAGGTGTAGCTTGTTCTCCAGGGGAATCTAAGCGCTGACCGGGTGCAGTCATCTTCGTGACATGCTGTTTTCATAATTGATGATGTCATATGTTGCTGACTTGCTGCTGTAAACTCGCCAGTTGTGAAGTGGATTAGGTGAAAGGAAAAAAAGAAAAGACACTGACATGCATGCAAACACACACAAACACACACAAACACACATTGAGAGTTTTTTTGTGAAATAAAAAAAAAACACTTATGCAATCCAGGTTCCCTGAAGGTATTGGAAAAAGTATGGTTTTGGACGTTGCACTGAAACTCATGCATACTTTCCACTAATAGTAATTTAAAATAATACCCAGCCAAATAATACCCTTCTCAGTACCTCTAAGTTTCCATAGCGAAGTGTAATCCTAATATCACTGAGGTTGTGGGGGAGTTAGTCCATTTAAGAATGTACCATTTAAAAACCACATTTTGTGCATCTTCCAACACAAACAATCACACAAACTTCACACTACCAGGTGTGTGCAGGCCTCTCATCACTCATACAACTGCTTCGTTGCCTTTAATGCTTACACCTAAGCTCAGCATCATGAATACCTTTGAGAAGAGATGGTCTCTACGACTGCACAAATATGTTGTGAACCACCTGAACCTGATCTGACCCGACAACAAAACAGAAAAAAGATTACCAAACACGTAAGACTACAGCCAGGCTAGGTTTTCCAGCACCAATCTATGGAAGAAGGGCGCTTATCGTCATACATGCTTCAACGGCTTCTACAACCAACGGTTTCTTTTTTAGCACAAATACAGAATGAAAGGTATGAAAAACTGGATTACACCCAAGCCTAGTTATGTCTACTGTAATTTGTAAGTCTCGCTAATGTTCACTTTTTCTGTGGACCTTACATATGCGTCTATTGATGCACATCTACAGACTGCGTCATTACTCAGAGCTGGATGTGGGGCTGGGCAATCTGGTCGAAAGATCATATGACATCTTTTGAAGTCTCCCCACATACGCTTAGTCGTCCATATATCCATTTATCCCAGATGTGCATTCCGCAAAACTTGCTGGTTGAATAATCCTGAAGAAACGCTCTCTCATCTTGCCTGTACTGCTGAGTATGTACAGCAAAACGACAATAAAACTTGATTTGATTTGATTTGATTTTTGATATAGCTGCCTGGATACAACAGCTGTCACTTCAACTCAGAGTGAAGGGCCAGCTCACAAATAACTGCATCCTATTGTTGCACGTTTTTCTTTGATAGTACTTTTACTGTGATATTAATAGTTTAATAAAGAAAACAATTGAAGTACTTCTTCTACGTCTATACCAATACCAACATTCAGTTAATGGAACTGCAACAATATAATAAGATAGAATGTGTCTGCAGCCACCAAATCACTGAATCCTGCTGCTCTGTGCTCTAGAAGTGAAACTGGAAGAGACGAACAGACTGACTTGAACAGTCAAGCAAATGGCTGCCCAATACTTACTTTAAATCGTTAACCCATGTTCATATCGTTCAGTTTACTTCAAGTGCAGGCTGCTAAACAGACGTAACATACCTGGTTAGTGAGGGATAAACCACAAGCTCAGCAGTCAAACATTTCTCCGTCCGTATGTGATGAACTTTTGCGGATTGTTTCGACAGCTCGTTTCTGCTCTTACATGGAAACAACTGGTTAATATTGTGGCATTTTGCATCAACTGTAGTGAAGCGTAGCCATTTGAACGTTTACGTCTTTCCTCCATCACCACCTGTTTGTGTGCTGCTCCTTTCTGTTAATGTGATGCCGATTAAATGTGTCTGCTTAATGTCTAAATACACACTCTGGTCACGTTTTTTGGTCAGACCTGGCAACATTTCCATATCCCTTTAAATAAGGCACAAGTCTGAACTGAACTAGCTTCTGAAAGGAGGCATGCCACAATAAGGTTAATAACCACTCCTGTAATTTAAAGTTGCGTTAGCACTTAATTTTACTGAATCGACTAAACAATCTCTTTGTGGAGACGAGATATGAAAGGGATGGACACTGAGTTTTCCCCTTAGATTTTTACTGAGAGCTTGGCTAATGCTTCGATCATATTTAGTGAAATGTGAGAAATTTGCATTTGAACAATTAAATATTCTACTTATCTTGTACAATTTACTGATTTTAAATATACATGTTTATTTTCCTTAATACATTAAGTATATTCTGCTAGAGTTGAATCATTTTAGTTCATCATAAAATGCACCAATTAGAATGTTAATTTAAATAGTTAGTCATGGTTTGTCTCTCTTGGATGTGCACAAACTATCCTCGTCTGTTGACATCGACCTAAAGGGCATGCACACATCACTGCTAATCAATGAAGCTGCCCCGCACAGCAGGTCAGAACGATATCACCACACTTCCTCTCCACTGCTATAAAATAACACAATAGCAGAAGATCTATAAAGCCAAGGTCATCCATATCCAGAGTAAACGGAAATGGAAATGTTCGTGTGAAAATATATTTTAAGTGAGAATGGAAGTTCTGCATTTATCCACAGAACATCTGTCCTCAAAAGAAGTCAAATGTTGATGCTCGCTCTCAATTAAAATCCAAAGCTTTTTGTGCCACTAGTGGAAGGACTCAAGAAAAGTGAGGTCAAAGAATTTTTGTCACAGATAATTATGAGAATCTCAGGGACTCCTGCCACCACAAGGCTAAAATGTTTGAGACAGCTTTTACACTGATCTTTGGAAACCTCTTCTGTGAGCTTCTTTTTAGCGTAAAAATAGGCTAAAATAACACAAAGCAAACAGCATGAAATTTCAATAAATGTATTTATATTGTTAGATCTGAAAGAGAGACAGTTGCACATATTCATGCATGTGGCACAACAGCAGTAATCTTGTATAGTCAGACCGTTCTGGCTGTAGCTCGTTGTTATTCTGCTATAGGGGGGAACACTTTGGGTTGTTTGTATTTCTTTGAACTCATAATGGGCAGTGCGAGGTGAGGGTTGCAGCAACGGTGTTCCCTCTAAATAGTGACAATAGTGGTTGTTTTGGTGGTATATTTGCATGTAGGGCGGTGAGAACCATCAATACAATGGATATTTCACAGAAAAATAATTGCAGGGCTTCCTTATTGTACAATGAAGAGTGAAAAGCCGCATGAAATGACGGTTAGACTACAACAACAATGACTTCAGTCATTAGTTATGATTATAAATGACCCCTGACATGTAGACAGGATCTATCAGGACGTAACGCAAGTCACACTGTGTGCCTTTTTTTTTTTTTTTTTTTTGCCTTTTTTTTTTTTTTTTTTTAAACCCATAAGAAATGAACTGTCACACATAATCAAAGTTTATAAGAACAGGTAAATCATTTTTTACTCAGTGGCCAACCTTCGGATTGAGGCCTGAGCTCCATCACAGCTGTCAGGATATTTTTTATTTTATGTACAGTCCTCCTGACCAGCTGAAGGGCGTCATGCTGTGAAAGCATCAGACTAAGTGCAGAGGATTGGTTTGCAGATGTCTTGTCTTCATCCTGAGGTCATTATGAGCACTTACATGCAGGAAAGACAGCATACCCAGAAAGACCTGGCAGGGAGGCCACCAATGTCACAACATTGTCTGTGCACAGGAAGGAGGCTTCCTGTGTTTGACCTGCTGTTGGAACGCTAGAACAGACATCCTCTGTAATTGTCTTGGTTTTAAAGAGCAAGTGACATCAATAGAAAATTAAACCTTTAAGCCAGCAGGATATGTTGTACTTACACGATGAGGATTCCATGATTATTTAGCCTCTTAATGTAGCTCCAGATAGTCATATTGGGATGTTAATTAAACGTAGCCCAGAATTTCAGATGGAATTACTGTCGGAGTCAGATCCCTGTGTGTGCTGTTGTTGTAATTAGTGTTATCAGTTGAAATTACCTTTACAACACTTCATTGTGCAACCTTTATTCTTTTACAAGGTCACTTTGAAACCTGGATATGAGAACTCCAATTTGTGGCATAGATTTAACCTAAAATCTTTAAATCATTCAAAATGAATGAAAAAAAGTTTTCTATAAAAGTCCCAAATCTTCTGAGAAACACCAAATCAATTTTTCCTACAGTTTACTGTTTCACTGTTTAGGTTTAATTTACTTGTACGTCTACTTTATGTTGAGAATTCTTCTTTTACTCAGTAGATACAGTACCAGTCAAACATTTGGACCCACCTTCTCATTCACTACCTCATGAAGCTGATTGAGAGAACACAAGGAACGGCAAAGCTGTCATCAAAGCAAAAGGGGGGCTACTTTAAAGAATCTAAAATATAAAATATGTTCTGATTTGTTTAACACTTGTTTGTTTACAACATAATTCCATATGTGTTCTTTCATAGTGCTGATGTCCTCGGTAATAATCTACAATGTAGAAAATAAATAAAATAAATAAGAATCATTGAATGAGAAGATGTGTCCATACGTCGGCTGTTGCTGTATTAAGGGTGAAACGGTAACTATGTTTTGGGTCGTGTTTGCTTCATTGACATTGTCTCAAACTTGCCATACTTAGCTGTGGGGGATGCTTCTTTATGGCAGGTGTCAGTGTGTGCAGTGGGCTGAAGTGTGGTAACAATGCTTTTCCACATTTAAGTGTTCCACATATAAACCTAGCTTTATTATTTGTCCTTCTTAGGAGCCATTTGAGGATGGGTTTGCCAACGGTGATGAGCTGACACCGGCTGAGGAGGCTGCTGCCAAGGAAGCAGCCGAATCCAAAGGAGTGGTTAAGTTTGGATGGATTAAGGGAGTGCTGGTAAGTCACTTTCAATCTTCTTTCTTTTAAAGTCGTAAAATGTCTCTTAGTTTACTCTGTTGTTTATCGAAAAATATTTTACTCCTTAAGCCAAGTCACCCTGTGACATCAGATTATATGCACAAGTATCAGACAACACAACACAGCAACAACAATCAAACAAACTCATGCTCAGTTCAAACTAACTTTTACATTTTGCATATGGGCACAGTAGCTTTACTATTTTTTTCTATATTACTAATGTTTTTCCAAAGCTGTGCAATAATCAGGTGACAGATTTGACAGTTGTATCAACATCCAAATGGTCAGCTGAACTCACTAAAGGTAACTTTCATAACAGATTGAGCAGATATTGCAAGCTGTGCCACTCAAACAAAAATAGTCTATTTTTTTTTTTTATATGGGGTATTGTTCATTTTCAGACCCCACTTTATAGGCATAAACCTTGGTTTGTAAGAGACTTGTCATGTAGTTTTGTGTGTATTCTTTGGGCATCATCCCTGCATTGGGTCATTAGGATGACATTAGCACAATACAACCATAAGCAAATACATAGATCTGTTAGGACAGTGGGGTTTTTGTTAGTGGAACTTTTTCATGCCTTGACATATATTTAATAGTAATCTGATGCACTTCTGCAGGCAGAATTTTAGTGGTAAATTTATCCTCATTGGCACATTCTGTTTTATGCTACAACAATATCAGGTAGATCTGAGATGGTCAGATGTAAAATGTGATGATTTAAGATGGAATGACCCCTAAGTGGATCGCAGATTATAACTGTGTCACTATATAATTTGAACTGTATGTGGATGCTGGGTTACAGGTAACTCAGATGGTACTTGGTTGGTTTGCTGGTGGATTAAACCACTGGGGGAGAAAGCACTCATGCTTGAATTATATTTAAAGTACAGTCTGCAGAAGATGTCAAGATGTGTCTGGATATTCTCATCCAGCTTTTGTTTTGATGTTAGAGGACCGTACTTCCTCTCTAATATAAACCTTGCACTAATTCTTACATGCCTTGAGTTCTACTGCCTTTATCAAGTGGTGTAGAGTATTCTCTTAATATAATCTTCTTAAAACCTGATCCTAAGATGATCCCTATGGGGTGAATGGGTTCCTCCATCAGGGTCAGGTGGAGACTTTGGTGTTGCTTAAAGATTCTTCAACAGAGTAAAAATAGAAATTGGAAAGTAAGCTAATGTCTCTGTGTAACAAAGGAAAGAAACAAAAAGACAAAAAGATTCTGCTTGAGGGGGTGAAGTAGAAAGCAAACGCATACAGTATGTATGTAACCTCATCTGTGTGAATGCGCTTTTATCTCAGCAGACACTGAACATCCTGCGTGCAGCGACTTGTTGGTGACAAACGTCTTGAATTGTAGGCAGCCATTTCTTGCTGACATGAGCCACATGCAGCTTCAATTTATTTCACAACACTTGAAATCTTTAGATGTGTGGCATCCAAATATTGTTGATATCAAATAATGGTGAAGCTTTTATTAAGCAGAAACCATCACTGGGACACTGGAAGCCTGATGGTTTGGTTAGTTTAAACCTGCACCCTCTCTCACACTAACAGTCCTTCCTCTCTGCAGGTCCGCTGCATGTTGAACATTTGGGGTGTGATGCTCTTCATCAGAATGTCATGGATCGTGGGCCAGGCTGGCATTGGTAAGCTGATGTCTCACACGAGTTACCGGTTTACAATACGTTCCAGCTCAGAGTGTAATCTTAGCCTAAAAACAGGAAATGATTAGTCGTGTTTTGGGCTTGGGAAGTTGTTTGTGCAAAACAGCTGCAGTTAAAGGTGTTAGAACATTGTTGCTTCACCTAAAAGAGTAGCTTATGCAAGACTCCTTGTTCTTTTTCAAAATGTTAAGTAATTTTGTCTTCTTTTTTGCAATAACATCCTGAGGAGGGAACAGTAGACAACAATGACGGGCAATTTTGTTCACGATATTTTTTAGTAAAATGTAGGGGAAAACAACAACAACATAGAAATAATTTAAAAATATCATTAACATCTCTAACAAAATGTCATACCAGTTTGTCACTTAGTTTTTGTACCCTGTTTCCTATAATCCTAACATGACTATTGGGACAGATTGAGAGTACAGCCGTATACAATCTCTTCTTTTCTACAAAATTTATACGATCAAATATAAAATCTAAGGTAACAGACATTGACCAGATGAAATATGTCAAACTAAATCCATAACGAAGCTAATAGAAATGAAAAGATAAAACAAGTGAAAAGAAATGTGAAAAATGTACTGACTCAGATACTGTACTGAGGTACAGACAAATGTGTCCAAATCTGGACACATGAAATAAAAACTTTTTGTACTGGGAGCTATATTGTTTTTTTTGTTACTTGGGTCAACTGATCCTGTAATGCACATTTTTTATTTAGCTACATATTTTGATGCTCCCTTTTAACTGAGGCTAGATAAGAGAGAAACAAAGCGGTCAGTCAGCAGCCCATCCGATCCACTGTTTTACTTAGACACAGCAAAGACTGCAGGTATCTGACAAATATCACTGACCAGACAATATGACCTATTAGCGTGGCACACAGCCCGTATTTACTGACATTGTGGTGTTCATCACTGTGTCGCTTACTTTTTCAATTCACACACAACACAGTGCTTCACTGACCCTGAATACTCTGGCACTTGTTAATAATTCTCCACTTTGATGTGAAATATCACCACAAAGTGACACATGTGACAGACTGAGTGCAGGGACTTGTCTTCATGGCTATACTGTTACTTTTCACAGAGCTCTCAGAGTGATTGGAAAGTCTGCTAGAAAACTATTAAAAGTGTTGCACATTCTTTTCATTCAAGACGTTTGTGATGTTCATTCTGCGCTTTCCTCCGCAGCTCTTTCCTGTTTGATCGTCGCCATGGCTACTGTAGTGACGACCATCACTGGCCTCTCCACCTCAGCCATTGCCACCAATGGATTCGTACGAGGAGGTATATATTACTTTCTACTGCAGAAGAATGCGCTACCTGAAGTCACAAGAGAATATGTCTGAAAAGCAGGGAGCAGCAGTGACCAGTGACTAAATTTAGTCCTCCTGTGGAGCAGCAAGCTCTCACATAACATTTGGCCTCTTCCTGCTATTTGATATGAAACAAGGCGATCCACCGCCTGTGGTTTTAACCAGCATGTCCAGCCATCAGTCATTCATCAAGGTGTAGGGTTATTTTGGAATCATATTTTAAAAAAGGGGTTAAAAACACATCCCTCCCTGTTGTGTCAACGAGAAGAGAAATTCAACAAGTCACCGGATTGCAACACTTTGTTGCAAAGTGATTAGAGGCAGCGGTAGCTCTGAGTGGGTGGTCTGACACCGATGTTAACACATTCCTCAGGCACTAGTTCAGGCAAAATAGGTGCGTGTCTGGTTTAATATTCCTATTACTGTAATAAAGACTAAATCACATTGAAGTAGTACTAATATTTCTGACAATACATTCCTTCTCTGCTTTGACACAGACAGAGAGCAGTGTCAAATATTTTACCCTTAATTCTGTTTGAACTGTTTGGATTTTTTTTTACTTGTTAAAATGGTTGATTCACAGAGAGTCCAGCCTTTCCCTACTAGAACCAGTCATATGGTTTGATAGGGATGGGTATTGTTAAGATTTTAATGGTAATGCTTCCATTACCGATACTGCTTGTCTATCTGGTACTTTAACAGTACTCTTATCAGGTCCACTCTTACATGCAACACAGCATCACATTGCTTTGCATTAAATGTTGAGTCTGGTTCAGCTTTTACAAGATGACTGTGTCTTCCTGTTTCACTCACCCCATTACAATGAACAGTGGAGCTCAGTCTGAACACAGTTTAAGCACAGCCGGTTATCTGTAGCCACTTTTAAATCCCCGGAAACTCTTTCCTGCCATTAAGCATTAAATTCAAGACAAGGCTTCTACAGTGACCTGATGTAGATGCAGGTCTTCTGATTCATATACAGTTGAAACCAGAAGTTTACATACACTATATAAAAAGACACATAACCTTTTTTTTTTCTCACTGTCTGACATTAAATCAGACTAAACTTTTTCTGTTTTAGATCACTTAGAATTACCAAAATTAGGTTTATTTGGTAAATGCCAGAATAATGACAGAGAGAAGTTTCGAGAGAATTTTTATTACTTTCTTTAAAGTCAGACACTTCTATACATTTCCTTAGTATTTGCTAGCATTGTCTCTAAACTGTATGACATGGTTCAAATCTTTCCACAAGCTTGGCCCTTGGTTCCTCTTACATATGCATGCAATCCTCAAAAACAAAACATTACACGTCTTTTGTTTGTTTTGAATCTGCTTTAGTTGAAATGAATTTGTTAGTTTCTGTTGTTAACAAGCCCCAGTGGGAGGATGAGGTGAAACAAAAGTCTTTTTCTTAAGTTCTGTTGTATAGATTTGAAATACGTTTAACGTTGATGCCCGGCCTTTTCTCAAATTCCTATCATCACATTTTCATAGAGTTTGACTTTTTTCTGTTTCCCCCTGTTACATTGCTGTGTAACTGTTCAGCTTTTGATTTATGCTGGGCAACAATAGGATGTTATTTTAAGGTTCTATTCTTAATGAATGGCATCTAGTATTTGACTCTGTGGGAATGATGTGTGTGACAGATGAACTCCAGCTGCTGTACTGATGGGTGGGTTGAAGAACTGAGGCTTGATTGCAATGCACCACAGACAAAACTATACACAACACAGTGAAACATTGTCTTATGCTGTTAAATTCTCCAGCCAGACCTCTTGGTAACTCTAAGCTGCTTTGTTGTATGACTGCAAACTGGACCCTGGTGCCTGTGCCAGCTTGTACCAATAGACATACTGTTTCAAACAGCTGATTGGCAGTGTGAAATGTAATCCTAGAACTAAAATAACCCTGACATGGTGCACATGCTGCTCTAGAGACCTTTTCCAAATGTTGATTTTGTGTAACTGTGGTGATCTTAAACACATTACACTCTGCTGATAAAGTGAGTAATTTGCCATTGTGTTAATTATGGTAAGCCTCTGCTGGCAAACAACAAATGAGGCTGAGGATTTTAAGTTCAAGGTTTTCAAGTGAATGAGACAGGCTCTGACAGTAGTCATGACACTGAGGACCACTCACTGGGTCTTCAGTTCAGTTCTGGGTGCACGGTCAGTTTGGGTCATATCACAAGTGTTATTCCCAAATGCATGTTCAGAGCAAACATTCTTATATATAATATCATTCAGTTTGCTCCAAGTTTCCACAGCTGTCTACTTTCACTGACATATTGTCCTTTACCTTTTATTTTCAGGTGGAGCATATTACTTGATTTCTCGGAGTCTGGGGCCAGAGTTTGGAGGTTCTATTGGTCTGATCTTTGCCTTTGCCAATGCAGTGGCTGTAGCCATGTATGTGGTGGGCTTTGCTGAAACTGTTGTGGAACTTCTTAATGTAAGTTTCTTCCGGCTTTATATTGCATTAGACGTTTACTGATCCGCTGGGATTGGATCCCTCTGAGTCATTGCACTTAACAGATTGTTCTTATTCCATTTAACAACTTCTTGGATTTTCTCTTAGGGTGTTGATGCCATCATGACAGATGAAACCAATGACATTCGAATCATCGGAACCATCACAGTCATCCTTCTGCTGGGCATTTCTGTGGCAGGAATGGAATGGGAGGCCAAGGTGTGAACAATGTCCAATCTCTGATACACTGAAAGTGCTCCAGTGTAACTGTTAATGAAAATTCCCACAACAGACTATAAAAACACTTTGAGACTGTCTGACAAACAGCATGATTATACGCAGGTTAAAAAGATCTGCAGGACTAATGCTTTGATTAATCTGCTTTCTGTAGGCCCAGATCTTCTTGCTTATTGTCCTCATTACAGCCATCATCAACTACTTCATTGGAACCTTCATTTCTGTCAAATCAAAGGAATCTGCAGGCTTCTTTGGCTATGACGGTATGACCAATTCATTTCAGTTTTATTTATATAGCCCTATTCCCACCATAAGTCATTTCAGGGCTCCTTACATTGTATGGTGAAAACCTTATGTTATAGAGAGAGACCCTACAAATCCTAATGATATCCTCTGAGCAGCACTTGGCAAAAGAGATGGGTATCATTAAGATGTTAATGGTACTACTACTCTTACCAATTGCTTATCAATCCTGTACTTTAACTGTACTGTAATCGGTACTTTTTCCTCTTTTTTTTTTTTTTACTGTGTGTTTATGAACACAGCCACAGTAAAACAGACCGCAGGACAATGCTTAATTTTATTGATCAACACATATTTGTATAATTTATAACTTGGTGTGCAGGCTGCTACACAGACATGAAATACCTGGTTAGTAAGAGATGAACTACAAGCTCAGCAGTCAAACATTTCTCCATCTGTGTGTGATGAACTTTTGCTGAATGTTTTGACAGATTACGTGTGTTTCTGCTCTCACATGAAAACAACTTGTTACCATTGTGGCGGCAATCATTTTTTGCATCAACTGCAGGAAAGTGTAACCATTTGAACGTTTACGTCTTTCCTTCATCGTCACCTGTTTGTGTGCTGCATAGACCTGCAGGAGGCTCTGCCCCTCAAACACAAGGTGTTCTGTCTGTTGGTGCAACAGGTTCCTTATTTCATCTCTCTGGTGATGAGACCCTCATTTTTCTTTCCAAAGTATCGATCGCAGAAGCATTAACATCGGAGCTTGTCGATCCTCCAGTGTTTAAAAAGTTTGCCCCAAGGCTAGTTTAAAACCGGGGTTCGGTACCCATCCCTGATTATATCATTACTGTAATTTCGAGGTTCTCTGCACTCCAGTCTTTCAACTCCTGTATTGTTTCTTATGAGAAACAATAGGGAAGATGGCAAATTCTTCAAATTATAGGACAGAAGTATGACTCGTAGAGATCAGGCCTTCTGTTGTCTTCTGTTGATCCTCCGGTATTTATAAATTTCACAACGGGCCTCTTTTAAAACTGGAGCTCGGGACCCATCATTACTCAGCAACAGTGGGGGGAAAAAGTACCTTGTAACCGGAAGAAACCTCCAGGTAGAACCAGACTCAGAGAGGATGGCCATCTTTCCTGACCATTTGGGATGAGGGTAAAGGGGTGAGAGAAAAGGGTAGCAGAGAGACACAGACAAACGACACATAAGAGAACAATAAACACAATAAGTCAATGAGGCCAATAACCGCAGATCACAAACATGTGGCTCCGCAGCCAGAGATACCTGCAGAAAGGACTAAAGTCAAACTACAGAACAGAGGAGACACAAAGTTGGTGACATGCATTGGTAGCATATAAATGTATAGAAAGTAAAGGAGAGATGTACAGGGAGAGGCTCAGTGCATCATGGGAAATCCCACAGCAGCCTCAGCCTATAGCAGCAACACTGAAGGATGTTTCAGGGTCACCTGAGCCAGGCATAACTATAAGCTTCATCAAAAAGAAAAGTTTTAAGCTGGTTCTGCAGGAGAGCACCCTGAGAACTCAAGTATCTGTTTCCCAAAATACTTATGGAAACTTTAGGAACCACAAGTAAGCCTGAGTTCTACTGGGATAATATGGCATGATAAGATCTTTAGGATGATGAAGCTTAGTCGTTATGGGCTTTGCATGTGAGGAGAAGGATGTTACAGTCTTAAAGGACATGTCCTGAACACAATTACCTCTAAGGGTCCTCACAGTAGTACTGGATTCCAAAGCATCTGGTTAGACGGTGTGTTTCTGAAGTATGTAGGGCCAAAGACAGTGACTTCTGTTTTGTTAAAATTTATAAGAAGAAAATGAAGTTTGATGAATTTGAGGAACAAATTAGTTTGGCTTCATCGATAAATATAGCTGGGTGTCATCTGCATAGCAGTGGAGATTTATGGAGTTTCCCAAACTTGAGTGCAGGTGGAGGACCCAGTCTGTTTTCAGAGACAGGTGCTTCAAGCTGACCTCCTCTGGTGGTTCAAATGTGGCTCCAGAGAGCCTGTTCAAAACCACTACTAAGTCCCATAGGGGAGCCAGTAACCTGGAAACAGGGAGTAGCCTGTGCACGCCTTTCATGAAACGGTGACCTAAGGATGTTTGCCAGCCATCTTGCCTTCAGACCTCACAAGGCATGTAAGGTACACATTAACTGTAGTAAAAAGCTTTTGTTTGCTAATCAAGTCCTGCAGGGATGACAAATTCACACCAACAGGGCAATGAAAGGAAATGCGTCCCTCAGTCTGACACTACTTCTCAAACACCCTCCATATACAGTCATGTGGAAACCAAGTGGAGGATGCTATAGCGCTCAGAGTAGTGTCAATTACACTCTAAGGAAGCCCTACAATATTTAAATTATACCAGTCACAGGTGAGACCTATAGAACCAGGCGCTCTGGGTATGGGTGAAGTCTTGTTCCCCCTGCCTAAGACAGCATGTCCCTGCGTGGGGGAAGCTGCTACACCTGTGTACGCTGGAGCTAATATAGAGTTGTGAGCAAAAGTTTACATACACTTGTGAAGACCATGTACAGTGGTGAACAGAAGTTTACATACACTTGTAAAGACCATGTATATTATGGCAGTCTTGAGTTTTCATTGACTCCTACAACTGCCATGCATGACCGACGCTCGGCCCATGAGCCGTAATGATTGGCCGACCATGACTTTAAACAGCCAAAAGTTATTCCTGGATTCAATTTCAGAGAATTTCGTTATGACAAAAACTGGGATTGTGACATTATTCTATGACAATAAACAGGCTGTTTTACCATAGGTTATATAGGAAATGATTTTAATATTTTATGATTAGAAATCTGATACTCTATAAGGCGGTATGAAATTAAGTGGGAAGCACTGTACAAACAATTGTTTGAAAGTATAAAGTGCATGGCACAGTTGTCTTACCACATTGATCAGAAGGAAAATACAAGTCGCTGCTGCGAGACATTTAGTCAAGATGGTCAAGAGTCAACCAAGAATCACAACAAAGCAGCTCTGCAATGATTTGGTAGCTTCATAGGTGTCAGTGTCCACAGTCAATGTGTTCTACATCGCTATGGGCTGACAGCTGAATTTCTGTTCATGTGACCGCATAGCCTATTTGGCTGCACTAACAGTGAGAAGAGAGAAGAAGAGAGAAGGTGAGGCCTTTAACCCTCCTATTATCTTTGGGGTCAATTTCACCCCATTCAATGTTTAACATCCCTAAATAAATCATTGACATACTTTTTCAGTTTTATTTAAAGGGCTATTTACACAAACAATTTTAATTATCATATTTTCTGGAGGTTTAAATTGCTGGGATCAAATTGAGCCCAAGGATAAAAGATGTCAGTAAATATGAAGGTAATAGGAAGGTTAACCCAAAGAACACCAAACCTACCGTCAAGCATGGTGTTGGTGGTAGTATTATGTTTTGGGGCTGGTTTGCTGGACTTTGTACTCGTAACATACACCCTGAAAAGCAAACCTCATTCCATATGTGGAAAATAAATTGGAACATGGAAATAGGCATCTGTCAGGCTCCCCTGAGCCTGGGAATGCAATATGCGAGAGAAGCGAAGGAGAATAACAGTGAACCAAAGCCTGCAATCCTGTGCTTTGTTCTGAGTACCCAGGCTGAAGCAGTGAGCGCTGCCTATCTCAGTCTCATCAGAGACAGGGATGTGGTAGCCTCTGAAGCGCCACCTGCTACGTAAGCCTCCAAAATCTGTGTTGTAGGGCTGTCTACAGGCAGAATACAGTTGTGACATTTGGCTGACACTGCACATGTTCAGCTTGTTAGTGCACTGACAGATTTGTTGACAGTTCACATCTGGAGCCAGACTACAGCCAGCTCCAGGCACAAATCTGCTGTCACACTGCTTATTGTCGTTTAATTTAGTAATTGTTACTGCGCCCTTGACCCGAGGTCTGGATGCGGCAGTGAAACACCTCATATTGAAGTCTTCTGTTGTTGCACCAAAGTGGCTGGGATGTGTTGATGCCACACAGCAATAGGGAGTTGCCCACAGGCAGAGAAGGCCATGGAACTGGCTGGGCTTTGAGCAACTTCACAACAGTGAACTAAGGAATTGGAGGCTGTTAGCCTGTCGTGGACTGGGTTAGGTGTGGGCTCGGCTTTACGGGGGAGGTAGGGTTGGAGAGCGTCATCTTTCTTTCTTTCTTTTTTTTTTTTTTGCAAACAATATTTTTATTGAATTTTTTTAACATTATACAAACAAGCAAACAAATGATAAAGTATTATAGAAAAAACAACAAAACAAACAAAAAAACAGCACAAGAAATACACAAGCAGTTAACACAAAACGCTCATCAGAATAGATGACATTGCTGTTGTACCAAGCGTACTAAACGTAGAGAAAAAAAAGAAGAAAAAAAACACATATTACACATATATGAACTATAAGTTTCCATTGCTCCCTTAATAAAAACGACTATGGGGCTTGTGCTGATCCACCCTATAGACGAGCAGCTAAACTATGTGAACTTAACTTAAAAGCTAACTCAAAAATCTCTGGCAGTGTCTGCCAACCTGCACTACATTAATGTATCACGTAATATATGCTTAACCCTACTACATAAACTCAAAAGAGCCACTGGTCATATGTCATTATTATAAATACCCATTCATTCATGCAATAACCTCTTCATATAACTATAAAGAATGGAAAGTGGCCACACTTACAATATTTCAAAGCAAGCAAAGTGTATAAAATAAGGATGACAGATAGAGACAGGGAAATAGGTTTCACATCTAACAAATACTTACTTACATTACTTTTACCCGTGAGTCCATCAACATCCACTGATCATCTTAACTGTAAATGTGAACAGTTTGTTTTCTCTATCAAGTCCTTGATAGAAGTCCTCTGCTTCCTTAGGTGAGACATATTTTCCCATTGTGGAGGATCCTGTGGAGGATCCGGCATAGGTTGAACTAAAATCTGCAGAAAATTGCTTTATGGACAAATTTTTTTCTTGATGGTGTTGAACGTACTGCACTGTCTCACAGTTTCAGCTGAGAGATCCTGGGCAGAGAAAAGTTTGTTTCCTTCATGTGTGTTATCACACTGTGTAGCGAAGCAGAAAACAAACTCCCAGTCTTGAAACTTTAGGAACCGATTAAGAACTGCTCTGTTCTGGTCTGATTTCGGCATAGCTAGGGTGCGATGAGCTCTAACTAGGATGAAATATTTACCAGTATCCAGCTCCAGCCATCTTGGCTTAAAGGATATTTGGTGCAAGGTAGTACTGAGCATCAACACCAGGCTGCCATCTTGTTCCGTGGCTCCATAGCGCCCCCCTCCATCATCTTTCTTTTTCCTCACCTCATAGTGCTGCTGCATTGAGGCGAGAGTGAAGCTAAAAATATTGTCTAGAACCATCGCCTTTTCTAAAATGTCCTCCATTTCTCTGTCAGATAGTATAGTCTGATTGAGCCACCTGACTCCATCCTGCCCTTAACTTGGTGTGCTAGCCTTCACTGGAGACTTCATGGTGAAATGGGCACAATGCCCACATGAGCTTAGGGCTTTGCGCCAACAAAAGGCAGCATGAGTAGAATAGAGGGAGTTGCAACTCGATATTTTGTTGCCACAGATACAGAATTGAGTCTCCATCTCATATGGTGTGAGAACCGTTAGCATCTATCCTCAGTAGATGGGTTGCAAATTGTATTATCAGAGTACAAACGTATAAAAATGGTGCCTCTGGTGTGCTGATAAACCTCATAAAAACCTCACCGCAGTATGTTCAATAGTGGACACTGATCTATAGTAAACACTGGAGAGTCACAGAGATTGCAGGTACAGTTGAAACCAGAAGTTTACATACACTGTATAGAAAGACATAAAACCCTTTTTTTTCTGACTGTCCGAAATTAAATCAGACTAAATTTTCCTGTTTTGGTCAGTTAGGATTACCAAAATTATTTCTAGTTGCTAAATGCCAGAATAATGAGACAGATTTTTTTTTCAGATTTCTTTTTACTATTACAGTTTTGTGGCCTGATAGAACTAAAACTGAATTGTTTGGCCATAATGACCATCGTGAGATTTGGAGGAAAAAGGGGGAAGCTTGCAAGCCTGAGAACACCATCCCAACTGTGAAGTATGGGGGTGGCAGCATCATGTGGTGGGGGTGTTTTGCTGCAGGAGGGACTGGTGCACTTCACAAAATAGATGGCATCATGAGGAAAAAGGATGATGTGGAAATGATGAATCATCATCTCAAGACATCAGTCAGGAAGTTGAAGCTTGGGCGCAAATGGGTCGTCCAAATGGACAATGACCCTAAGCATACCGCCAGATTAGTTACAAAGTGGCTTAAGGACAACAAGGTCAATGCTTTGGAGTGGCCATCACAAATCCCTGATCTTAAACCTGTAGAACATTTGTGATCAGCAAGGCAAGCAAGGCAGCCAACAAACCTGACCAGTTACACCAGTCCTGTTGGAAGGAATGGGCCAAAATTCCAGCAAACTATTGTGAGCAGCTTGTGAAAGGAAACCCAAAACGTTTGACCCAAGTCATATAGTTTAAAACCAATGCGACAAAATACGAAGGGTATGTATGTAAACTTCTGATGTTAAAGTAATAAAAAACTCTTGAAAAAAATTCTCTCTCATTATTCTGGCATTTACCAAATACAAATAATTTTGGTAATCCTAACTGACCTAAATAATGAACAATATGCATTTGTAGTTTTAAGGAGGACTTTTTTTTTTTCGTGCTCTTAGACTATGTCTAAAGTCTAAGACCCCACACTGATGCATATTTCAATTGAAGGCTGAATTAACATCTTCACCTCCCTGTGACTGAGAGCTGAGGTTGATTTTAAGTGTTTTGGCAATGAAAACTTTGTCACCTGCTTTTTCCACTTGTTTTTCTGACAGGTTCAATCATGTGGGAGAACATGGGTCCGGACTTTCGAGGCGAGACGTTCTTCTCTGTATTCGCCATATTCTTCCCTGCTGCCACCGGTATTCTAGCTGGAGCCAACATTTCAGGAGATCTTGCTGTAAGTCACCTGTAATTCTGACCAAATCTCTCTAAATGGTAAATGGTCTGCACTTACATAGCGCTTTTCTACCTTAGTGATACTCAAAGCACTTTACAATGTTTTCTCATTCACCCATTCACACACACATTCATACACCAATGGCGACAGAGCTGCCATGCAAGGTGCTGCCTACCTGGGTTCAGTGTCTTGCCCAAGGACACTTCGACTGTGTAGGGACAGGGGATTGAACCACCAACCTTTTGATTACAGGACAGCTGCTCTACTACCTGAGATACAGCTGCCCTCTAGAAAAAGAGATGATACATCCAATGACTTTACCCTGTTTCCAAGCAAACCTATTATTATGTGTTGGTGAATGTGACAGGTGATTTGACTAATTAAGTCCGTTAGAACTAATGAAACAAAGAACAGTGTAACAGTAATTGAGCTCATGGCCTTCACTGTACCAGAGAGACGATTGGAGACATCTTCTAAATGCCCTTTATTATCAAGGATTAAAAGACCTGCACGGTAATACCTTTCTTGTTCTCTCTCTTTTTTAAGTCTTTACTCTGGTTGTTTTTTGCAGGACCCACAGCTGGCCATTCCCAGAGGAACCCTTCTAGCCATAGTGATCACAGGCATAGTCTACCTGGGTGTTGCTGTTTCAACAGGTGCAGAAGTACCTCTTTTTTGTGTGCACTTTTGCAAGTTTATCACATCCCTTTACAGAAGAGTTTATTAATTGCATACTATTTTTCTAACACTAGGCTCATGTATTGTGAGAGACGCCAGTGGAAATATGAATGACACAGTCAGTTCTCAGTTCATGATGAACTGCACTGATGCTGCCTGCAAATTTGGCTATGACTTCTCTACCTGCAAGGGTGAAAAACCTGGCTGCCGCTATGGTCTTCAGAATGACTTCCAGGTATATAGCAGCTCTATCAGAAGATGAATGATAAGAATCTTTGTGGGATAAAAGTTAACATTTGCATTTTGGTTGTTTTTATGCAAATGTAAAACAGTTAAATGTGCATTTAATGTTCCATTCAGGTAATGAGCCTTGTTTCTGGTTTTGGGCCCATCATCACAGCCGGAATATTCTCTGCCACTCTGTCCTCAGCTCTGGCCTCTTTAGTCAGTGCACCTAAAGTTTTTCAGGTAAGACTCAACCTAAGCATTAAGGTTTTAAGAGAATTACAGTAATAGTCAGTGAAAACATAGTTTTACTTTAGAATTGTTTGTTTATGAGTTTAGGGTACTAAACAGCTAAAACTCTAATGATAAAAACATCACGTGTTTCTTTTCCACAGGCTTTATGTAAGGACAACATCTACCCCGGCCTGCAGATGTTTGCCAAAGGCTATGGCAAGAACAATGAGCCACTCCGAGGCTACATCCTGACCTTCGGTATCGCCTTGGCCTTCATCCTCATCGGTACATCTGCACACATTGCTTTTTTGCACACTCACTGTTAGGCATTGCTATTAAATGTGATCACAGTTAACATTTCTTAACTGCTATAGGCTTAAGATCCTACAGCCAGTTGTATTCATTGCACTCCACACTCAATTGAATCATATTAGATGTTGTTTTGTTCTTGCTGAATATACTGGAGGACATCTTGTTACTGCTGGACGTTCTAGCACATTCTAAGTTGACTGTTTGGTGTTTTCATCTTACAGCTGAACTGAACACAATCGCCCCCATCATCTCCAACTTTTTCTTGGCGTCCTATGCCTTGATCAACTTCTCTGTGTTCCATGCCTCATTGGCTAACTCACCAGGTAAGATCAATACCAGGACACAGGAAGAAATAAGCAGTAAAACACACTAGGTCCAGAAGTTAAAACAATAAAATTAGCGTAACAGATCATCCTTGGCTCTCTGTAAAAGCAGACAGCTCATCAGCCAGCATAGTAGAATCACAAGTTATATGGTGTATAAGAGTGATTATGATGGGAAATGATGGTGTTTCAAAAGAAATTACGTTGAGCACATAGATTTCTCCTGGACTATAAAGGGTGTAGCAAAGTTTGAACTGAAATGGTCTGATCATACCAAAGGCATAGTGATGTAGTAAATGCTGATAGTAATCATCTCGCGAGCTGGAAACATGGTAGTACTTTCCAGTAACAATAAATCTACCTACTCTAGCTAGCAGTTAGCGAAATAGCTGTTTGTTAGCTCGACCATTAACAGGATATTTTATGAACACTGTTTATCCAGGAGGTATGTGTGGTGCTAGGCTGTGGTAGCTCTCTGACACGGTTTCCCTTAAAGGTCAGTAAAGTCGAGACAGTCTAAGTTCACTAAAGTTGTCCTCAGTGCAAGATTTCACCACAGGTTCATTGACATTGCTTTTGTTTAAATCAGAGAGTTTTAAAAGGCTTGAGTGACCTAACCGTTGCACTGCAATGCACCATAACACCAGTAAGAGAGAGTTATGGTCGTATTATAATTGGTAATATTACATTAATAACATCTTAATGGCTTTATGGGCTTTACAAATTTAGGTTTAATTAGAATTAGTTTTTAAAATGAATCTCATATTATATGAACAGCACTGTTCTGAGAAACACCTAATGCCTGTTTTTCAATAAGCTTTTTAAAAAATCTAATTCTGTTTTTGTTGAATCATCCAAACAGAAGCACATATGACATAAAGTGTAGCGTTCAGATTTTGGCAAAAGAAGTCAAAAGATTAAGTGTCATGATATACAAAATAACATATCAATTTTCCCTAATGTTATTTTTTTCATAAATATATAGAATTGCTTCTTAAAAATACAATAATTTAAGAAAGAAAGTATGAGCGATTTAGTGAAATGGGAATGCATTGTCTCCCCAGCACATTCATAGACTACATTGAAACTCCCAACATAGTTTTTCTGTTCATTTGACTTAGGCCCTGCATAAAAATGTTAAGGTACTGTGCCACTGTTGTGTTCGATTGGAACAAAAAGTCTCTGGCACTTTGAAGCCCTCTTAATGTGGATTACGTCACTGAAGTAATCTTTTGTTTAGCTCTTTTTTTTGAATTTCCACACACTTAGACCTACATAGACGTATCTGAGCATTTCACTGGATATGTGGTATAGTGTACAAAATACTATGCTATGTATGATCAGTATGGGAACAGTATTCAGTTCTGTCCGGTGGTATGCAAGGTTTTGTTTTGTTTGTTTGGTTGTTTCGATGTGTGGCTCCACTCCCAGCCCTGTAGAATAGAATTTTGACTGTGATGCATAAAGATTTGAAAAATTATACATAAATCCTATAAATTAACACTTTAGAAACATTGGTTAAAAATAAGGTTAGTAGGTTACAACTGTTCAGTATTTCAGTGTGTCAGATAGCAGACATTATTGAGGCTATCTCTTGAAACTGTTTAGGTTGCAGATTTAACCTAGATGTTTAAGGTTTAATTATATATAGAGTCGCTTAGCTTCACTTGAACTATTTGCATTTATAGATGCCACTATAGGTAAGTGACAACATTTTTTAAAAATTCATTTTGGTGATACATTTGTAAACTCATGAATGGCTGAATGAAATATATAGTTGATCTTATATATTGAGTAATGTGCTTTTTTCCCCTCAATACCAAAGCTCTTGCAGAACTGCAGGTACAGATTCTCTGTCTGCTTCTAATTCCTCCAGCAGGTCATAATTACATGGACTTAAATGGTACATGACTCATTTAGAGGCCAGCAGTAATACAGACAATATAATGGAGTAATGCATTTTATTACCTTTGTAACCACAAACTATAAACTCAAATTAAGGTTCTGGTCTCTTCAGGCCCAATTTGTCCCCTCTCTCTGGGACATGTAAAAGCTTTTCCATGGGGCTGAGAGGAACAATGTACCCTTTATGTCCTGTGGTTTGTTTTAGACTCTCATTGTGTAACCACACACACTCCAATTGTATCCCATCACTAAAATCCCCCTAGTCTAGTTTCTGTGGTACCCAGTACATAAATATGGTCCCTAATAGCTGGTATAACCTTCTGGTAATCAGTCTAACAGGCTGCTAACCCCCATTCTTTAACCCAAGCACATGTCCAAGTCAAACTTTAACGTTATCCATGCTCTTTAACAGCAACATTTACTGTTTTAAGGCCATGTTAACGATGAAAATAGTTGGAAAAGTTTCCTTTCAAAAAGAATGACCACAGTGTCTCCTGATCTTTAGTCTTTTAAATTGTAGGTCAGATGTAATATGGTCGCGGTTAAGTAGTTTCTGACAAACATGAACTGTCTTTACTCAGTTTACCAAAATTATAATTTGAGCAAACACTCTTCTTCACATACATTATGTGATTAGCACTCTGTGTGTTGTATAAATATTATTTGCCTTTTGTTGCCATGTCGTGACTCATTTTCGTTGGTACTGCAGGGTGGCGCCCCAGCTTCAAATACTACAACATGTGGGTTTCCCTTGCTGGAGCCATACTGTGCTGTGTGGTGATGTTTGTCATCAACTGGGCGGCTGCTCTCCTCACTAATGTCATCGTTCTGGGTCTTTATATCTATGTCAGCTACAAGAAGCCAGGTCAGTTACCAAGCACACTTTTGGGCAGTGGGACATGACAGCATTTCTTGTTTGTAGCCACTGGTTTCAGAGTTAAAACATTTCAGATGTTGGCACAAACGAACATCAATACCTTCAGAATAGTTGAAAATATTTACATGCTGGCTTTTACAGGGCAATGTATGATATTGGTATAATATTAGTAATTGTCTGCCCTCCCTGTTTCAGTTGTTTTGTTTTACTGTGACATGCACACATTTCAAGATTCCTGATTTGCATAAGTTCTTTATATAAGGTGTAGAAACAAATGTTTTATTGGAAAACTATTTTAAAAGTTAGCCACAATAGATAAATTAGAATGTAAACAATAATGTTGGTCTGTTCATAGTTTACCTGAGAGATCAATTGTAAACAGATGAACAAATATGTTTTAAACAATACAGATTGATCAACAAACTGCTACATGATACTGAGCTGTTGTTCCATCTTCCCCAACACACATTGTTGCACTTCTTCAAACACAAATCTGACCTTACAGCTCTGAACACACACCTGTGTGCACACTCAGTTTGACATGCAGCTACACACACATAGGAGGCCTTGTCACTGACTCTAACACCACATGGGTCAGACAACCTTTGATCCAGCTATCTGACCCATAAACATACTCACTAACTCCACTGTGTGTTTTTGCCTGCATGCGTCCTCCCGTCCAGATGTGAACTGGGGCTCATCAACCCAGGCCCTGACTTACCACCAGGCCCTGACCCACACTCTCCACCTCAGCGGGGTGGAGGACCACATCAAAAACTTCAGGTACCAAACACAAACATGCCTTTAGTTACTGCGATTAAAGCTGAAATCCAGCAATTTTATGACACTGAAAGTGCAAAAGGTCTCAGTTATGGCCTTGCACACAAACAGTTAAGCATAGATGCAGTATACTACCATACTAACGAGATCATATCTTGGTATGCTAAACAATTACCCATAAATTGAAATTTTGACACATGTACATAAGTGTTGTAGTTACAATCAGATCATATTGTCAAGGAATAGTCTACTCACAGTGCTTAGTGGTACTAGAAAACTTGAGTTTACTTATCTCATAACCCCATGAGTGAGGTGTCACTATGGGGAATGCGCTCTCAGCATTATCCTCAGAGGACTTTATATCATTACTCCAGACACTACTGGCTGGCAATTGTGACACCTGCGTCAAGTCAAAAAACATTGATCTTGATGTCTCACGATGGGGATGTCTAGACTCCCGTATTGCCAGATAAGATCCCATGCAGGCCCATACTGCGGTATGAGCTAGTGAGGGTGCAGGGATATCTAACCTATAGAACCGTGCAGAGGTCAGAGATGAAGTCCAACTTGCTGCTGTATGCATTTCTGCTGTTGTCACCCCCTTAAATAGGGCCAAGAGGTTGCCATACCCCTGGTCGAATGGGTACGGAGCCCTGCAGGGGGTTGCAGTCCCTTGCTGGTGTCAGCCATCTCAATGGCCTCTACAGTCTAATGGGATATTTACTGGCCCATAAAACAAACAGCTGGTCAGACTTCCTTAGTGTTTTTTTTCTTTCAATATTGGTGTGCAAGGTTCTTAACAGACAGAAAGCATGCAGGCACTCCTGTTCATAGGAGGAAAAGGGAGGGGGATAAATTGCCCACAGCTTCAAAGAAACACACCCCAGTGATGGATATTTGGGCCTGAAGGCAGAGTTTGGTTAAAGTATGACCTTAAAATTACCTTGTGTGAACTGTACATTGTACATGCACTGACATGTTGTGTTGATGCAAATTTGGACCACCACCTGGGGGTGGAGGGTCCAGTCTCCATACACTGGATTTCCACTGAACAACAGATCTGTTTTGGACTCCAGGAATGTGAGTGGCTCTCAGTGATAAGAGGCAAATGCTGCTCCATACAATCAGATTGCAAGCCAGCATGTGTCGGGGCAGGATCGGAGCTCACCCTGTATGTTGATGTGAGCTACAACCAGGGCTCCAGACTGCAACCAAAATGGTCACATATGCAACCTTTTTTTGAGCGTATGCGAGTTAAAATTTCAAGTGGTCGCATTCATGCAAGTGTTGATGATCATTAAGGTGTTTTGGTGTCGCTCTAACTAGTGCAGGTAGCTACTGTGTTAGCCACAGTGATGTAAAATATTACTTTTCTTTCTTCTGTGACCCTGTCAGTCTGTCCCTGCCTGAGGCGTAAAACAAGCTGTTTAGCTGTTTTGTGCTTTAAAGATAAAGCAATCTGTCGCTGATCATTTTAAAAACAAAGTAAGCAAAGAGGAGGAGGCTGGGGGAGAAGGACAGGTCTTGACTCAGACACACTTGATAATCAGACTGCAGTTGCAGACAGAAAGGTACAGGCTGAACCAGTGAAGAAAAAAAAGCAATAAGATAAGCCTTTATTGTTCCCACAGTGGGGAAATTTGCAGTGTTACAGCAGCAAAGATAGCGCAAGCATTTAAGGAATGTAGTACAAAATAGAAAATAACCCAAAATATACATGAGTACTAGTTCTACAAATGAACATTATTTCACATATTGGCGGTATTGCACCGATTTTTTTTGATGAATATGAATACTGAGAGAAGTATTGATATTGTGCACAGTGTCTATATTGCCACCTGTGCAACAAGTGCAGTCGTGAAATTTCCTCGCTCCTAAATATTCCACAGTCAACTGTCAGTGGTATTATAACAAAGTTGAAGCGATTGGGAATGACAGCAACTTAGCCACGAAGGGGAAGGCCACGCAAACTGACAGAGAGAGGTCAGCGGATGCTGAGGCGTTCTCTGGAGTGACAAATCGTGCTTGTCCATCTGGCAGTCTGATGGACGAGTCTGGGTTTGGCGGTTACCAGGAGAACGGTACTTGTCTGACTGCATTGTGCCAAGTGTAAAGTTTTGTGGAGGGGGGATTATGGTGTGGGGTTGTTTTACAGGAGCTCGGCTTGGCCCCTTAGTTCCAGTGAAAGGAACTCTGAATGCTTCAGCATACCAGTAGATTTTGGACAATTCAATGCTCCCAACTTTGTGGGGACAGTTTGTAGATGGCCCCTTCCTTTTCCAGCATTACTGTGCACCATGACGTGCCCTATTAGGATGATATGGTACAATAAAATCTTTAAGATAAGATGAAGCTTGGTTATTAAGAGTTTTATAAACAGGATTTTTAATTCTATCCTGGATTTAAAGTGCCCAGAAATTAGAAGAATGGCCTGTGGCTGTTGTGTCTGCAGCCTACTAGTGACAGAGTAAATGGCGTCACAGGCCGTCTCAGTGTTAGCGAAGGGGGCAATTTACACAGCTGTCGTCATAACGTAAGAATTCCTTCGGTAGCTAGAATGAAATGAAATGAAAAATACTTTATTTATCCCAGAAGGGAAATTCAATAGAATGGCCTCATGCTACCAGCAACAGCTCAACATCTTTGCTACAGAGTTGTTCTTCAATAGCGATATGCCTGGGGTTACACAGTCTGTCATTAACAAACACAGATCTCGTCCCTTCCTCTTGCTACTCTCCCTTGTCCTGTCCGCCTGCATCACCAGAAAGCTGATGAGTGCAATGTTGGTGTCTGGTTTTTGTGCCTCATCTCCCTAAACAGCATAATGTTGCACTGCTAGTTGTCCCACTGGTGCCAGGTTAGAGAACTAATTCATCCATCTTGTTAGGAAGAGATCTCTTTAGTTCCAAAAATGATGGTGGAACGTCTCCTCGTAGCACACCGCTTGGTCCCGGCAGGACGTCCCTGTCATTTCATCCTCGGCTCTCGGGGGATGTCAGGTCTCTCATCCAGTAGCACTTTACAAAGTGCTAACAGCTGATCGGCGGTGTAAACAGTAGGGTTTCTTACTAAATCTCAGAACAGAACAGGGTGGGAAAAGTCCTGGAAGTCCCTACCAATACAATATGTGTTGTGGCCTTTAGGCACACCAAGCACACCTAGTGAATGTCTAATCCTGAAATTTTGTGACCACAGGGACGCTTGGGGTCAAGCAGCTGTGGTGGACTACAGACCTAGCTAGTGTGGGAACTAGCGCCTGTGTTACTGGGCTTGGTGTGTAGCGAGGGCACTTAGCTTGGTCAGCTAACATGACTCTATGGTGAAGAGTCAGCAGCAAATGACAAGCACAAGCCATGATAGCGTCTGGTGACCAACGGGTTAGTCTGCTCAGTTGGATTGTTATGCTAGGCACTTGAGCTGGCTGTCAGGAGAGAAAGCTTTCTGAGCAAAGTATTAAGAGGAAATTGAAGGGAGGGAGTACACGTCATGACCGCCAGCCATTACTGGCTGTAGTAATGATACAAAGGCTTCTGAGGATTATTCCTCATAGTGAGACACTGAAATGAATTGAAAGAGAACTAATGAATATTTATAGGGGGAAAACTACTGTGATGACTGACGAGTGACAGGTCACAGCTATTTCGATACACTTTCCTGAAACATCAATACAGATTGATACAAATAACTGGACTGTAGGTTATTAGTTTAGACATTAGGGAAAATAGTAAGGAGCTGTTTTTTGTGTTTTATAGCGACCTTGATGGGGTTATAGAGCAGAAATGTATGATAACCTTTTCAGTGAGAGAAAACAAGTCAGCTAGTCACTGAATCAATAGCAAGGTTTGACTGTTGCTTGAATAAAATGGTCTAAACCTTTTTGAATGTAGAGCAGAACTCAAAGTAAACAAGCTGAAGGTTTTTCTTCACTTGATATTATGGGCACACATCAGTCATTTCTCAAAATAGTTTACTTTTGATATTTAGTTCTGCAGATATTTACTTTAAAGTTTGTCAAAATTAGCTAGAAGATTATTGGTTTAAGATTATTAGATCATGCCCTTGATAAAAACAACACCTGCCGACAAATGAGTTGGGCTAACAGCTCACATAGTGTCAGTCAGTAGTTCCCACAGCAAGACGCATGATGCTGTATACGCTTACCAGTTTGCTTGGTAAATAAAACCATCTACACAGAGTTATCTACTCAAAGCAATGAAGTGTACTGCACTGTTACACATCTCATAAGCCTAAACTTTTGAAGCTTAATTTAACTACATTTAATCCAAGCATGCTCAGAATCGTTATTGTTATATCAGGGGTGTACAACAAAAGATGGTACGATCATGTCTTGACAGTGTAATTCCCCTATAAAGCTGATTTTTGTACCAACCAGCCCTATTTGTGGCAACAAGATGCATATTTATTTCATGAAGCATCTGTACAGTTTTAACATGCACACAGAAAATGTAGCAAATCTGTGGAGGAGGAAATGAAGGAAAGCAACCAGAATTAATAGAAAGGCAACGATGAAGGTCTATTCACAAAGGCTGTTAATAGGAATAGCATACACCTAAAACATGACTGGCAGACCAATGGTTAGTTATTAAATGATATTTACAGGTGTAATTTTAACTGAAAAACAAATGTTGTTCACTTTACTTTGTTTTGAGGATGTGTCAGTGACAATATGCCTTTAGACTGTTCCCAAAGCAGCGAACCAAGCAGGAGATTAAAAGACATCTGATGGTGTTATCAGAAAGACTTGTGTGTTCCTCTGAACTCATACTTCTATCCTCCCAGTGCCTCCATTAAATCCCATGGTGCTTAACATATTTGCTTTGATGTGTGCTACTCTGCTCTTGTGTGTTAAGAAGACTAGAGGCCACTGTGAAGGTCGGGAGAAAAAGTAGCAGCAGATTTACACGCTTGTAATGCTGTAAATATCACAGCAATAAATGGCTATTAAATAGCTTATATATACAATAAAATAGGATTCTGAGGCTGACATGATGTTTTTGTATTTTCTCTTGGATGTGTCGTGCTGCAGACCTCAGTGTTTGGTGATGACTGGTTACCCCACCTCTCGTCCTGCTCTTCTGGATCTGGTCCATAGCTTCACCAAGAATGTAGGCCTGATGATTTGTGGTCATATCCGCACGGTAAGCATCTACTCTGCTGTTGCCTTTTGTGTTTTTTTGTGGCAAAAGCCTACAAATTATCTGAAATTGCTTCAAAGATTCATGAAGTTTCTAACTCAGGACAAATATATTATTGATGAAATCATCTGATGAAATGTTGCAGATGTTTTTAAAAAGAGGCTTTTATTCAGAGTATGTGACGTAACTTGTTGACATGTCACACAGTCAGTGTTATCCAAAGTTGCAGTAACTGGAAAATGGCAGGAGTCTGAAGATTTTGGCTAAAAGGGATGCACAGTAGAGAAGCAGAAACACATTTGGCTTTCTTGTACCCCATAAGCCAAGCACAACAGCGGGTGCTCCTGCATCTATTGGAGTGCAATCATAGAGTACATAAAATCGCAGCTATTAAAAAGAAAAATTTCACCTGATTTAAACTTAGCTGCTATGCCCTTCAAATTAGCCTTCTTGTGCAACAATGCAACACTTACAGCACTTCTGCCATGTTTGGACCGCTTTTCATTTTGGGGAAGAGGAAGGAGTTGGAGGGAGCCAATCTGGCAAGTAGAGCTGTTGGAAAGCTATAATTGTGTCGATGCCACCAAAAAACAAAAAAAGTATTGTTAGCCGGCCCACTACTCTTGCACCACTGTTTGGGCCGTTTACAGCAAATGTTCTCAACAACAACAACAGCAAGAATCTCTTGACTCTCTCTTCCTATAGGGCTACAGAAGGCCAAACTTTAAAGATCTTGCCACAGACCAGTCCCGCTACCAGCGCTGGCTGCTGAAGAATGAGACCAAGGCCTTCTACACACCGGTGTTTGCTGAAGACCTCAGACAGGGCTCCCAGTACTTACTCCAGGTATGAAAAAAGCTCAAAGTAAACAGCAAAAAACTACATCAGGTAATTGCATGTGTGACAAGATTCATTATCAGGAATTTATCGACAAAATTCCATTGAAAGAGCGAAAACCTCTGCTCCAAGCCCACTGAAGTGGCTCCACACAGAGCTTCACAAATAAATAAAAACTAATCTATAAATTTATCCAGTGTTGGATAGAGACAGACAGATACAGAGACATTCATAGTTCAGGGTAAGGCCCTGTAATCCTTATCCTAAATATGGATTTTAGAATCGTGAGTTGTAGTACACTAGAACATTTTGCGATGTCCCAGTGTGCTTCTGGTAGGAAATAAAAGCAACACGCACCTGTGAAAGCTGAAGTAGTGCTCACAGAGATGAGTCATACCTAATGCTGCCAACACTTTGATCTAGATTGTTAAGGCTGGAAGTGATCACTTGCCTGAGAGTGAATAATGTGATTGTAGAATTGGCCCCATAACACAAGTAGTAGGCTGATCACTGCACTCAACCAGGGTTTATATTCTTGATTTCCTGTTCCAGAATGACAGGGCCAGGAATTGTTACAAAACTGGGCAGCGTTTAACAAATGAATGACTTGTGATTTCATTCAAGGCTGCTGGTCTTGGTCGCCTCAAGCCAAACACCCTGGTGATGGGCTTTAAGAACGACTGGAGGGATGGTGACATGATGAACGTGGAGACTTACATCAGTATGATCCAGTAAGTAGAGCTTGTTTAGTAACCTCTGGCCGTCCCAGTAACATCTCTGCAAACCCAGCTAGGTTAAACATAGAATCATCGCAAATGTGTTTAGTTTTATTGTCTGTTTTTTCATCTGGAAGTCTGAGTATCTGAGTGTCAAGTGTTAAAAAACAAGAGATCCTCTTACAATCAGGGTTGCCTAATATTTGAGCCAGACCATTCTAAATACTGAATAAAGACTGTCTTTCAGTAGGAACACCTAGATTCGTGCGTAGGAGTGTGAAGTAGAGGTAACACTCATTTTTAGTAATGCATACTCATACCATATGTTATCAGTTCTCGTAGCCTTTTCAGGCTGTCATTAAAACTGCTGCCATTAAAATGTTCGAAACACAGAACACATAATTTAAAGTAGAGATATTGCTCAAGATTATTTTTCATTATATACGACTGTTTTTTTGTTTTTCAATTATCCAGGTAATTGTTTAGTCTGTAATATTAGCTCTAAACGTACTTTGGAGTGAGACCCTTCTTTTTAGGATGACATTTTTGCATCACCCTCAGCCCCCTGCATGGCTACTTATAGACTCAACACATTTAGTGTTTGAACAATTTGTTCACATTAGATAGCACGACTGGTTTAGTGGTAAGGAGGGGGCATTTTCAAAGCTCAACCAGAGAGTGTTTAAAAAGGAAAAATAGAAATGGACAATTAAGCAATAGACAGAATTGGTAGACAGTCACTAGGAGTTTATATTCTTGATTTATGGAAGCCCTGGTTTAACACTCTCCACTCTGCCACCTTGTCTTTTTCTTTACTTGTGTGACGCCACAGTACAGGACCAGATAAACCTGTTAAGTGGCCCTGGGGCAACAGTTAGTTTTTGGTACCTTGTTGTCCATGCATGTTTTCCTTCAGACCTCTCCTATTTTAGTTTATTATAAGCTTTATACAGTCATTTTTAGCAAACACATTTTCAGTGAACATAGAGTCGTCAGTCTCGATGACTGTCAGGGGCCCCAGGCGAAGAGACTATAGCCAGTCATTGTCACGGTGTCTTCACTCAGCTCAAGCTCATTATGATGGTCTGGGACTCAAAGTATTCCTTGCAGATACACATCACAGTAAAAGCTCGTACACACACTCTTCATGTACTTGTATTAAGACAGGAGTCCATGTGAAATCTGTTTCCCTGCTGAACCATAAACCGGTCATGTGAGACTGTGAGTGAGCCACTTAAGCTGAATGGGTTCCTGATTGTAGAATGTAGGGATTATGGCTTTAGAGTGAAAGGTCAAAGATTGTTCGGTCTCACATTATTAAAATCTCAGTTAATACGCTCAGTAATGTGCCCTTTACTTTCAATCTAGTGTGTTGCTGGGCCAGTATACACACTTTAAGTTTTAACTTGTAGCACTGAGAAAGATGCTCGAACCTCACATTTGATCTGTGAATATCTCTCAGCAATGTTTGTTTATCTTCCTTTCAAATGTTTAGTGTGACTTGAGTCTCTTATTAGTTTACAACCACGTGCTTTACTCTGTCCACTGCTGATGAAATCCTTTTGTTGATGCATTTTCCTCTCAGCGATGCCTTCGACTTCCAGTTTGGTTCTGTTATTCTACGACTAAAAGAGGGGCTGGATGTGTCACATATTCAAGGACAAGGTATCAGTGCAAAGACACACAACATGGTTCCACAGAAGGGTTTACGAGCCTTACACAACTTTGGAGTTGCACCCCTGCATTAGGTTTTCACCAAGATGTTTCAATTACAGTCTGAAATTCAAAGATAAGTGATGAAGAAAGGACCTAATCCACATATTTGACAAGCTAGGAACAAATATTTGGCCTTTTATTATTTTTTTTTGTAAATTTTATGTTGAGTGGTTGATTGCTTGACCTATTTCTTGAGCTACAGTCAAAAATAGAAACTGCAGAACTTGCAATATCCTATTTATTAGTCTTTAGTATTAGCAGTATTGGCCAAGCACCAAAAATTGTTTGTCCTACATGTCCCATAATGCAGCTTGAGAGCATCTTCTGTTGAAGATTATGAAGATTGCATTATGGGACATGAAACAAATGGCGCACTGTACATTCCACAAGCTTTTGCCCTTTTCAGACCTTTTCCAACATGCATTTCTGATTAACTGACTTAGCAATGGCTGTACACCACTCGCTTGCCCAAAAGGCCCTCTGTACAGGAAGGAAGTGTGGTTTCATATCAGCGTGGGTTTTCTGGTCACTGACATAGCATTATCAGGGTTATGTCAGTTGGGGCACAGAAATCCTGTGATTATACAATGGTGGTATTTTACCACACAGGAAGGATTTAATGAAGAGGTTCTGTTGAGTAGCATTATGGGAAATGTAAGCGCAGGTGTGTCCATTTATTTAATTTAATTATTATTTTTTTTGGTGGTGGTGGGGGGATCTCCCTGCTTTAGGGAAGGTAAAAAGTCATCTAGATACCCCTTTAATCCAACCTATTTTAATGTTCCTGTGTAAAGACTGCCTAACTATGTAGCTATGTTTGATTTTCTTTTTTTCTCCCGCTCCGTTATTTTCCTTTTTTTCCTCCTCCATCTGTCCTCTCGTTCCATTTTCTGGTAGATGAGTTGCTGTCTTCCCAAGAAAAGACGCCAGGGATGAAGGATGTGATCGTGTCAATAGACACCAGCAAAGATTCTGACGCTGACTCGTCCAAGCCGTCCTCCAAGGCAACCAGCCTCCAGAACAGTCCAGCTATACAGAAAGGTAAGCGAGCTCCAGTATGACTGTCTCTACAGTCATCATATTTACTTTTGTATTCCCGCTTTATTTACCAGGTGAATTTCAGAGGAAAGTTGTTGTTTATAGTGATGGCCAAGTGAAACAGTATTGACATGACAGTAGGTAAAGGCAAATATGACAATAAATTTCCAGGATTTTCCCTGTGGCTTCATCTCAAACAGAAAGGCAAGCAGGCAACTTTTATTGTGCCTACGGTTAAAGGTCTTCATTTTACCAAATAATATGGTTTAGATTTGATACAAATATATGTTGTGGAAAGTTAGCGACACTTTCTCTGTTAGTGTGTGTTCAAGAAGTAATGTTACCATTGTGAAGTGCTTGACAACAGAGGTGATCAGGTTACAGTAATCAGCCATAAAGGGGATCCAAGTTTCATCCATCTGTCCATTATCTATACACCGCTTAATCCTCTTTAGGGTCGCGGGGGGGCTGGAGTCTATCCCAGCTGCTTCAGGGTGACGGTAGGGGACACCCTGGACATGTCACCAGTCTATCGCAGGGCTACACTTAGAGACAAACAAGCACACTCACATTCACACCTACAGACAATTTAGAATCACCAATTAACGTGAGCATGTTTATGGACTGTGGGAGGAAGCCGGTAAAAACCCCCACGCTGCACAGGGAGAACATACAAACTCCACACAGAAAGATCCCGGGCGTCATAACCAAGACACAAACCGGCTATGAGGTGACTATGCTAACCACCGATCTACCGTGTAGCCCGATCTAAGTTTCAGTTGTCCAGATATTGTTTACCGAGTGATCATTAAAGATTACACTGGGGCCTTGTCTCGCTGAATTTCAGCATTTGTCCCACATCAATCATATAAATGTCCATCTACACACTGATTACTGATGTCTTCATTTCACCAAATATGTTATTTGGTGATGATTGTTTATTTTGTGTGTGTACATGTTGTTCAAGCAAAAGTTCAAGTCATGACAGAAGAAGACTTTGCATCCAATCAGTCTAACACCATTCTCTCCCTCTTAATCCATCAGTGGCTTCCCTTATCCTGCCGACACACACGCACACACGTACACAAACACATACTGACAGGAAGTTGCCCCAGTGACCCACGACCCCAGTTGTCCCACTGGGCCCAGTTTGTTAGTCCACAGATGTCTTGTGGCCACACTGTGTGTTTGGGTGTGTGTATGTGTACGTGTGTGTGTGAGGTCACCATTCGTGTAGTGTGTAAGTGCCACCCACATAACTAAAGCAAGCAAACAACAAACTGTTCCCAGATTGTGGGAACTGTAGTACCAAACATTCTCAACCTCATTCTGACCACCAGGCCCCCTGCAATGTGGATTCATGACGGCTGGTATGGGATTTGTGTTGGTGTTTATGTTGAAACCTTCTGCATGTTTTCTTGAAATTTGTAAGTTTTTTTTTTTTTAGATCTTTCTACAACACAAATGTCATCAATACAACATTTTTGACAGAAACTGTATTCTGATTCCTTTATTTTTTTCTAGATTTATTGTAAGTTTCAGTCACCATTTGGATGGGAAAACTCAATAGCTCCTGTAGCCATTTCAGATTTAATTTATGTACTGTTAAATGTAAATCCCTAAACATTACTAGGTGCTGTTGAGTGTCACTGGCACTGACTCAACAGTGCTAAAAGAGAAAGCAACACAGGAGTAAATGGAACTGAAAATTAAATTTAAGCAATGGTAGAAGGACAGCGTCAAAATGGCAAGTAGTACATGGCTTTATAACTGTACTGATTAATTAAGGCAATGAGTATCAGTTGAGTTTACAATTTGAGACGTCATACAAAGTGCTTTACGATACCTTTATTAGAGACAGCTGTTCAGACCAGATGAATACCCGTGTTATTGAAAAGTACATTAATGAGTAGTTACATTATAATATTGAAACCAAATGTGTTTTTATGATGTCCTTTCAGGGTATTAGTAGTATTAATACTAGTAGTCATTATTTTGTACCCAAATTGAAAGAGCGACACACATTGTGAACATGTTAGTTCAGTGAAGGTACAAGAAGTATCAAAGTGAAGATGAATGCCTTGGTTTAGGTAATCCTGTTAGTCCCAGCCATCATTAGGAGAGAATCTTTGCTCAGTTCCCCTCCGGTTTGCAGAGTGAATTTCCATTCTGACCTTACTGTGTGAGATTCTCATTTTAATCCAAGACACAGTCTTAGTGGAGTAGTTGAGTATGAAGAATTAGAAGTGATTCATGCGTATTTAATACTCTCACATGTCCATGAAGGTTGTTTACCAATGGTTTGTGTAATCCGGTTTGATTTAACCAGACAGTCCTGGCTTCCAGCTGCCAGTTTTATTGTTCAGGTGAGGTCTTGGAAATTTCCAGAAATCAGAGGAAAACTGAGCTCTGTGTTAAATATGCTGCCAGTGGAATCGTTTCAGCAGCAGTTCCCGTTATTCCCTGGCCCAGAGGGGCAGTCTGTTAACATTAAACTCACTGTTCTTCTTGAGACCATGCTGTCTGATTCCTTCTACTTTGGATAAGTCTTATAAGTGTACATTTTTGGTTGTACTTAACTTCATCTTGCCTTAACGCCAAGAAACCTCAGTCGTAAGTCAGTGTCACATCAAATCAACAAGTCACCTCAACTGTGACTTTTTTTTTTCTCTCCTTTGTTTTATATTTCCCAGATGACGATGATGATGGCAAAGCTACAACTCAGCCCCTGTTAAAAAAAGGCAGGAGATCTTCTATCTTCTTTTGGTTGCCGTTAACCTTTTGTTTTCTCTTTCTGCTTAGTTTTTCTTTCTTAGGCTCCTTCTGTTCTCTGTTGTATACTCCTTTCTTCTTAAGTCTTTTTTCCCCCCTTTTCTCATGCTTACTCTTTCTGTCACCTAATTTTTCACAGTATATTTTGAATTCCTCTTGTGCTAACATACTGTCCTGCACCCTGCTGTCGCTGTCTTGTATTTCTCTCTATCTGTCCCATGTTTGCAGCCAGCTAGCTACGTGGCTTTGGGAAATAACATTTTGTTTTTCCTCTCTCTCCTGCTCTCCCTATAATAGTATCCAGCTTCTAGCTCAAGCCCAGTCTCTGAAGCTCTACTGTGTGTGATAGTGCCTCTACTCAATCCAAGTCTGCAGTAGTTGCTGTTTGTGAGCGTGTGCCAACATTTCAGTTTCTTCCAAACTGTCTTCAATCTCTCACCTGCTGCTTCTTCTCCCTTTGGAGTTGACAGTTTGTCTGTAGCTTTCTTTTCAGGATGAAAACTGCTCTCCTGTTTTCATGTTTCCAGCCTGTCGTGGCTTCTCTCTCTTTGTTTGCTCCTCAATATTAATATTGTTTCTCTTATGTGGACAGTAGAACATGCCCGCATCAGAGCTATAAAGAGTAACTGTGTGACTTTTAAAACTTTAAAACTAAAACTCACTCTTCCTCTCATTAAGTGTCAAGTTGAAAGTTCAAACAATAAAATTCATAATTGTTCAGTTCAGCTGAATTTGTTTGTGTGTGCGTGTGTGTGTGTGTGTCTCAACTATCCCTACAGACAAGAAGAGCCCAACAGTACCTCTGAATGTGTCTGACCAGAGGCTGCTGGAAGCCAGCCAGCAGTTCCAGAAAAAACAGGGCAAGGGCACAGTGGATGTCTGGTGGCTATTTGATGACGGAGGTGAGTCTGCGAAAAAGAATTGTCTTATTTTTGTGTTGTAAATAAACCATTAAAATATAGATTATCCTCTTAAATGTACAGGGTCATTGCATGTATTCTGAACATAATATAAATATGTCGACATGCATATAAACATGCACAGCAGACTACTGTCAGCAGGACAACACAGAGGCAGAAGAAACAAAATGCAGAAATTAAAAATGTGATTACAACCATGTCTGTAAAAAGATCAAATCTATCATGACAGAGACAGTAATGCCCATACTGTATTTGATAGAATGATTTGGGGTCTCTGTTAGCTCAACTGGGAGTAAAAAGATGTTGATCAGGCTAGAGGCATGACTCATGCATTAAAGACACTGTGACCAGTGTCACTTCAAATCTGGAGTGTCATCATCATGTGAGCCTCTTCACTTTTTATAGTAGGGACACTTACAGTCCTGAGTACAAGCAAGCTGTTGTCCAGACTGCACTGATACCACTTGTGGCTCAGTTGTTGAAATGCTGCTAAAATCTGACATCATGCAGTGGAACAAGAAAGTATTCAGGCTGCTCAACTTTTTGCGTACTTAGTTTTATGTTTTATTTTAAAATAACAAAATTGACATGTTTGGATGTGCTTAAGTCACTCAGCCAAAGCTCAGGTTGTGTGGAGACACCTGGAGATGGCAGTTCACAAACACTTCCCATCTAAGTTGTCAAAGGTTGAGAGATCCGCTCAGAGGAATGGAATAAACTGACGAAATCCAGGTGTGCGAATCCTGCAGAGATTTAGCCAAGCAGACTTAAAGCTGTAAACGCTGCCAGTGGGGCATCTACAATGTACTTTCTTTAGATGTAGCACGAATGTACTTAAGGACCACCTGAATAGATTTTGAAGGCCAGTCATTACTGTGACCTCACAGTGTGACCTGACGGGTTAGCAGAGGCATATAGCTGCAAGGCTTAAACTCTAGTTTTAATGAATTTGCAAAGATTTGTAAAATGATGCTTTTACTTTGTCATTGCAGAGTATTAAATGTAGCTTAGTGGGAAAATTTGACCAATTTGAAATAATTCTACAATACAGTTATTTGTGCTAAAAGGGAAGGAGTGTGAATACTTTCTATAACTATCATCTACTGAGTTTATATACTGTAGAGTGAAAGCCTTGAACATCTTGATATTGGACATTTTTAACTTAGCTATCTTAAGTTGCATTTCTTTCTGTATAAACCTGTAATTTCACTAATTATCAGTGACACTAAAACTATATGAAGAGTGGTGTTTGCTTATTTGTGAGGATCCTCATTAAGTTGGTGATATATAGAACTTCTAGATTTGTGTGATCTAAACAACAGTTTCATCAGCAAAGCAGCAACATGTGCTCAATACATGCAGTAGATGCGATCAGCCTGGCTTTACTGTGTCCTTGAGTGAGAAGCCATTGCGAGATTCTGTTTGTGTTGCTGCATCAGCAGTGATTGCTGATGGTTGGTCAGGGAGCCTGTATAGAGGAGGCTAAATGTGGGGAATCTTATTTGCTTCAGTAAAAAACACCTCCAAAGCTCTGTGGTCTTGACTTGAAGTTCAGCCAACTGAGAGGCAGCAGGTGTTCAGTGTTTACATCACAGAAGGTGTGAGTTGAGCAGCTTTGCATTGTCTCCCCATCCAGGACTGACCTTGCTGATCCCCTACCTGCTGACCAACAAGAAAAGATGGAAGGACTGCAAGATCCGGGTCTTTATTGGAGGCAAAATCAACAGGATCGATCATGACCGCCGAGCGTAAGTACTGCACATTCTCACTGTCTGCTGTTAATCTTGAAGGTACACGCATATAAGATCATATTAGACTGCAGTACTTGTGCCAACAGGAATGACTGTTTATTAGTTTTTCTCAACTGAGCCATTTTAATGACTCTTTGAAATCATCTGTCATTTCCAAACATAATAAATATAATATCTAAATATCTCTTTTGTGATTGAGTTCTAAATAGTTTCTAGCTGTACCCATAGACTGGCTTTAGATTAAACTTTTGTGCGATCAATCTTTGAATGTACTACATCCCAAATTTGTTCAATAGGATTCAAATCCAGATTTTGACTTGGCCAGTCAATCAGTTCCAGAACTCCAGATTCCTTTTTCTTGGTCCAGTAGTCTCTGTACAACTTTGAAACATGCTTGGGCTCATTGTCTTGTTGGTATATGAACGTACGACCAATCAGATTCAATCCAGAAGGGATTCTATGATGCGCTAAGATGTTGTGATAGACGTTCTTGTTCATGATTCCGTCCATTTTCACTAATTTGTCCACACCGTTTCCACAAATGGAACCCCGTACCATAATGAAATCTTCACTGTGTTTCACTGTGGGTGCAACGCATCTGGTATCAAAATGTTCTCCAGTTTTTCTGCGAACGTAAATACGACAATGCTGACCTAAGAGATCGAAATTGGACTTGTCTGTCCAGAGTACCTTCTTCCAGTTATCAACAGTCCAGTGTTTGTGCTCCCTGGCAAATCGGAGGCGTTTCTGGATGTTTGCATCCTCAATAATAGCTTCTTAGCAGCTGTTCTTCCCTTTAAGCCTTTTTGCCTTCAGTTGTCTGCTTATGGTCATTCTGGAGACTTTCTCAGAGATGTTGAGATGTTGCTTCAATATTTCCACATAATGTTCTTTCCTCATGATCCCATCTATTTTGTAAAGTGCACCAGTCCGTCCTGCAGCAAAACACCCCCACAACATGATGCTGCCACCCCCGTACTTAACAGTTGGGATGGTGTTCTCAGGCTTGAAGCTTCTCCCTTTTTCCTCCAAATGTAATGATGATCATTATAGCCAATCAGTGCAACTTTAGTTTCATCAGACCACAGGACATGTCTCCAAAAATTAAGGTCTTTGTCCCTGTGTGCATTTGCAAACTGTGATCTGGCTTTTTTATGTTGCTTTTGGAGTAATGGCTTCTTCCTCTCTGAGTATCCTTTCAGCCCATGTTGGTACAGGACTTGTTTCACAGTGGATAATGACACTCCCTTACCAGCTTCAGCAGCCTCTTCACAAAGTTTTTTGCTTTTGTTCTGTGGGTGATACGCATATTTTTATAGTGTATATGAACTTCTGGTTTCAACTGTATACGAGTATATATGCATATATATAAATATGCAGGTTGCCCACATATTAGAAAGTCTTGTCAAATGAAGCAGTCATGCAGCTTGTTAGCAGTAAGTGTAGCCATCTGCTTTCCTTTCAGCACCACCCTCCTGTGCTCAGCTGCTGCTGACAACTTGACACATGGCTGCTACAGACAATATATGTTCTGTTGATGCTGTATTTAAGTTATTGTTCACATTTTATCACACTAAAACCCAATATATGTATGTACAACTTGTCCAAGATTCAAGACCTTTATTTGTGACAAACACAGTTATACACAGTATAACATGCAGTGAAATGTATTTAGCACCTGTTTCACAAGACGAAACGTAAACAGGATAGTGAGCAGTTTAATTGTCTATTCAGTCTATTTTTTCAGGTTCACCAGGCAGACAGCCTGAGGGTAGAAGCTCCTTCTTATCCTCTCTGTTTTTGCCTTCAGGCAGCAGTAACGCTGACCTGATGGCAGCAGAGAGAACAGTCTGTGGCTGAGGTGGGTGGGCTCACTCACAGTCTTCCTGGCTTTTATTCTGCATCGTTTCTTGTAAATGTCCTGCAGGTTGGGGAGGGTGGTTGTCATGGTGCGCTCAGCCAAGCAGACCACCCTCCTCAAGACCAAGAAGTCCTGCTGGGTGCTGCTGCCCATCCAGGTGGTGATACTCCCAGCCAAAACACTCTCAATGGTCCAGGTGTAAAAGTTCCTGAGTACTTTGAGAGGGAGCTTAAAGTCCCTCAGGCGTCTGAGGTGATAGAGATGCTGTCCAGCCTTCTTCACCAGGGTGTTGATGTAACAGGACCATGTCAGGTCCTGCGTGATGTTAACACCCAGGTACTTGAAGCTCTCCACTTTCTCCACCTCTGTCCCGCTGATCCTGTGTGGGTGGTATGCCCTCTGCTGCTTCTCGCTGTAATTCACAATCAGCTCCTTGGTCTTGCTGATGTTCAAGAGGAGGCTGTTGTCTCTGCACCAGTCCTCCAGGTGGGTGAGCTCCATCAAATAGTCCTCTCGTTGTTGTTGGAGATCACACCCACCAGTGCTGTGTCGTCAGCAAACCTAGTGATGGTGTTAGAGTCTGATGTGAACAGACAGTCATTAGTGTACAACAGAGGGCTCAGCACACAGCCCTGGGGGGCACCGATGTTCAGGGTGTGTGTGGGAGGAAGCTGGAGAACAAGAAGTGAACCCGTGCTGCACAGGGAAAACATGCAAACTCCACACAGAAAGATCCCAGGCGTCCTAACCATGATGCAAACCAGGAATCTTCTGGGGGCCTCTAGCTCTGAGGTTATAGGGCTAACCCTCATGTAGCCCCCACGAACAGCATTTGCACATAATTCCCCTTCCTCGTGTCCAGGTGGGCCAGTGCTGTGTGTAACAAGTGATTGATGGGGTCATCTGTGGATCTGTTTGGCTGGTATGCAAACTGTACGGGGTCCAGGGAGGCAGGTAGGGAGGAGGTGATGAAATTTCTGACCAATCTTTTAAAACATTTCACCACCCCAGAGGTAAGGGCAATGGGCCGGTGGTCATTAAGACAGCTGGGTTTGGCTTTCTTTGGGACAGGAACAATGATAAATTGTTTAAAGCACCTCGGGATGATGCACTGGGAGAGCGAGTGGTTGAATGTTTCCGTCAGCACCAGTGCAAGCTGGTTGGCACAGGTTTTGAGGACATGTTTTACCGTCAGGTTCTGCAGCTTTCTTGGTATTTACGCATTGAAACATCAATCTAACGTCATGCACCATCACAGTGCGCATCTTCTCCTCTCTGCTGGGCAGGATGTGCGCCTCTCAGCCGGGAGCCTCGAAGCACTCACAAAAGATGTTAAGTTCGTCGGCCAGTGAGATGTCAGCACTCACCATGGGCATCAGTGTTGCTTTATAGTCTGCCATTGTTCTTAGTCCCTGCCAGAGTCCCCTGGTGTCCCTCTGTTGCAGCTGTGACTCCAGCTTCTCCCCGTACCTCTGTTTGGCCTCCCTCACGGCCCTGCGGACGCTCATCCACGGCTTCTGATTGGGAAAGTCCCTGATAGTTCTTTTGGGGATAGTGTCCTCCAGTAGTTTCCCAATAAATCCCACAACTGCCTCCATAGACACACTGACGTGATCACCGGAGCTGCGTTGGAACATGTCCTAGTCTCCTGTGTCCAAGGTGTCCTGCAGGGCGGCCTCTGATTGGTCAGACCAACGCGACACTTCTCTCTCCACAGGGGCTGCCTGCTTCAGCCACTGTTTGTACCTGGGCAGAAGGAGAATGGAGGCGTGGTCTGACCTGCTGAATGGTGGTTGAGTCTTTGCTGCATAGCCGTCTCTGAAGGAGAATAACAGTGGTCCAAAGTGTTGTCTCCTGTGGTGGGGAAGACGATGTGCTGGCAAAGTTCCAGCATCACCTTCCTCAGGTTGGCACTGCTGAAATCCCCGGCCATGATGAGGGCTGCCTCCCGGTGGTTAGCCTGGTAGCTGGAGATATGCAGCGTCCGTGTCTGCCTGTGGGTGAATGTAGACAGCACTGAGATGACCGAGGTGAATTCCTTGGGGAGATAGAAAAGTCAGCGTTTAATGGTTAAAAGTTCCAGGTTGGGCGAGCAGGACTTAGAGAAACAAACAACATCTCTGCACCAGTTGTTGTGGGTCATGAGACAGACACCCCCGCCTCTAGACTTCTCCGACTCAGTCCTTCTGTCCATACGATGAACTGTGAAGAACTCCGCTGGTTGAACGGCATGGTCCCTTATGGTGGGGGTCAGCCATGTCTTTGTGAGGCAGATGATTTTGCAATCTCTTGTGTCCCTCTGGTACCTGATCCTGGCTCGGAGCTCGTCCAGCTTGTTGTCCAGGGACCTAGCAGGATGCTAGGCAATGGGGGTTGGTGTGCTTGTAGCCTCAACCTGTACCTAATGACGGCTCGTTTCCCCTGGTGCCTGTTACGCTTTTGGCCTCCTGTCTCGTTGTTGTTGTTGTTGTTGTTGTTGTTGTTCCAGTTGTGTGGGCCAGGATGCATCAGGAGTGAAAATTGTTGAATGTGGTGATAAACCAATATTCACAAGTGTAACTGACATGCTGAGGACTGTGCAAAAAAATTGAATAAACAGGTAAATAAAAATATTTAAAAAATGTTTTTAAAAAGTTGTAAAGGTGCTGGAGCAGGCACTCACCAGCGCCATCTTGGTTGCATTATAAGATTATAAGATGCATGATAGCTGTATTATAGATGATTGTCTTGTGAACGTACATGTACAGTGTACATTTTCACAGAAAAAATGTCAAATAGACGATGTTAACCCAGACTTTAAGTGTGGTAATAATGTACAGCTGAGACAACACAAAATGTTTCTCAAAATATGTGTCATGTTTTTAAAATTATAAGTAGCTGCTCCAAAACAATAGCTTGGTTGATGCCTTTGGCAGAGGCTTTTGGTACACTGTAATCTGGACAAACAATTCTTGACATTGAAGGTTTATTATTATTAACCTTAGGAATGGCAAATTGCTCAAAAAAGGCCACTCGTTTTAAATTTTGTTCTGAGGGAGGTCACAAGATGTGGCATTAAACTCTAGGAATTTGCACAAAGTGTTTTTTGTGCTAAAACATCTTCTCATTATGTAATGCAAATGGACTTGTTGGAGACTTTCATTTTTGTGTCTCAGTTACCATTGTTCATGTAGGTGGTTGAATGGCTTGTTTTGAAAACCCTCTGATGGCGTGCTCAAATTTTCCTGGGAAGATGGAAATAAATGTATAAGGCAATTACATTTGTGAGCAGACACCACCAGTATGTCTTTACAGAAGGCTGCAGTGTTTAAAACAACATATCCTGTCAACATCCTGTCTCCTCTGTGCTTGTGTGGCCTCGGTGGTAAAGATCCATCAGAACCATTAGTGCTAGACCAGAAATGGTCATTTCCTCCTTTCTGTGGAGAAAGTTTTTCTCATTAAATATCATTTTCGTCTGTTTATAATGTAAATGTGTTGACGGAAAGGCGTGGAAAGTGGACCAACACAACTCCTCCACCAGAGATCAGCTTTTTATTGATTAATATTTAAGGAAAAGCTCAGTGATTTTAGACATGGCTTTCCTTCTGAGTTGGGATTTTTATAGGTCTTTTATCTATGTGTTAAATATAGAGCTGGAGTCAGGATGTGGTGAGTCAAACTCAGCATCCGTCACTCAGTGGCACAGGGATGCCATGGCTTTGTTTTTTTTCCCCCTTTTTCCTTTTTAATTTTCTTCATCTGTGTGTGATATGGGGTGGGGTTGTGTTTGCTGAATATTAAAAACATTTCTGAATTGGCTTGTTTTTCTTTTTTCTGTTCTAATTAACTTTTTTTCTTCTTCTTCTTCTTCTTCTTAAGAATACAGTTTTTTAAAATAAAATGTTAAAAAAAGCCCAACTTACCACAAAGACCAAAATCCTGAGGAAATGACTTGTTTTGCAAAGATCAAACATACAACAACACCTCTGAAGCTCACTAATAAACATCTTTTGTAATCTAGGAATGACCAGAAATGTGAACATATCAGTTTGTGGTTTTAGGTGGTGTCATGTGCTGGCACTGCACTGGACTTGGACTCAGTACAAACACAATGTTACCAAAGTTGACAATCTCACTGTGAATACACACAAACTGTTGTTCACATAAAACAACCTCCCTAAATTTTACATTTCTGTACACATGAGACAAACAAAATGCACTATGTTAGTCAGGTAGCTTTTGAGGCACTGGTAGTGCCACGTACATACACACACACACACACACACACACACACACACACACACACACACACACACACACACACACACACAAAGAGTCTCTTCCCCGGTCTCTCTGTCTGTCTGTTATTGTCTGCTACAGCTGCCCCCTACCTCCTTTTGTTGGATAAAATTAGCGTGTTGCTAGCAGCAGAGCCTTTTATCTGTGCCAGTGCACTTTGAAATCCCCTTTGTGTCCGTTTACTGCAAAACTACAACTTGTCCCTGTCAATGGCAGCCATGCCTGTTGCATGCATTCACACTACAGTTTTTCTTTCCCATTACAGGAAGATAACAGTATATGCTTATTAGACATAATATATATTGAAATTCGCTACATTGCCACAGCAGCGGCAGTCAATGAAAAGTCACAATTTTAATAACTTCAGGTCGTTGGATGACACCCACTACATTTGAATTCACTCTGGCTAGTTCTCTAAGAGGAGTTCCTTAAAGTGTACGGGCTGCAGATGGCAAAAACCATGCAACAAAGGGCACAGGCTTACCGTATGACTAAGTGGTTTTGTTGTAAGTCTGGATATGATACTATTCCTATCAAATTTGGCAAATGTAGGTCAAACGTAATGTGGGGGCTTTAGCTTTGAAGTTTTGCAGTTGTTACTATTGAAACATTTTGCCACACCCATGCCAAAGAGCCGTAAATCATATAAGGCACTCAGCTTCTTTGAAGTTGAAGCTAAAGGAAATGACTCTCACACACAGAATGTTCCCAGTAAACCCTCTGCTACCTGTCTCCTCCCCCTCCCAACTCTATGTTCAAACAGAGTTATTCAAGGCAGCTTCCCCTGGGTTTCAGGGTGAATCAGTGCCGTTATCTCTATCTTTGAAAATATGTGCTGCTGGTTTCCAGTATTAATGCCAAAGCTCTTTGTCTTTGTTGTTCCTGTGCAGGATGGCCACTTTGCTGAGTAAATTCAGGATAGACTTCTCGGACATCACTGTGCTGGGAGACATCAACACCAAGCCCAAGAAGGAGCAGTAAGTCCTCTTCAATAAAGTTGAAAGAGCAAGGTTTCTACCAGCTCAGTTAGGCTTTCACAGTTTTGACCATCATCCTTCTAAAAAGAACTTATTGCAGACGTTCAGGCTCCTAAAGGACACACAACACTAAATGTACATTCTTTGGTAAAAGCTGGTTGAATAAAGACTGATCACTGTTAAAGGTCCAGTAGAAAAATATTAAAGACAGGCAAGTAACCTCTGTTACAAGCATAATGTCAGTAATACAACTGAGTCATCTAATGCTCACCAATCTGCGTTTTAACACACATATGTTTATTTATTCATTTATTGCCTTGGCTTACTCATCATTTTTTCATCCACTGTTGAGCAGTGCAGTCATTACTGCCTATAAATGTTTCACATAAAAAGCATTCCAAGTTAAAGAAGGCACTTTGCTCATTAAGGAGCTGGCAGGCTTTTAACTTGGAATACATGCAGGAAGTTTTCAATTTCATCCTCACTGACTTAACAGCATTTAAGGACAACTGGAAAGAAAAAAGTCGGTGGAAATATATATTGAATGAAGATGATAGATCTGTATGACGACAAATTATTCACAATAATCTAAGAAGAGGGAAAGTTAAGTGGATATGAATGTCATGTTGGCTTTAAAAAGTTCCCAAAGTGACACCGAAAGAAAGAAACATTTGGTTTTCAACTTTCCAACGGTCTTTGAACTACTTACCTGTTTATCTTAACTGAAGACTTACAGGATATCTTGATGTTGTTTCCTGGCTTGTGTAAGAGAGCTGATCATGACGCTGATGTTTTTTCCACAGCGTGGCAGCCTTTGAGGAGATGATTGAGCCGTATCGCCTGAAAGAAGATGACATGGAACAGGAGGCAGCTGAGAGGCTGAAGAACAGCGAACCATGGAGGATTACTGATAATGAGCTGGAGCTGTACCGCGCCAAGGTCTGCCCACACTGTACTCCCTCTAGTTCACTGTATACTGTAGCCATGTGTGTATTTTAATTTCACAAGTCCAACACATTTAAGTCAGTCTTTAAGAAATTTCACATGACTACATCTTTCAAAGCTTTTAGCGAACAAGGAAACGTCAAGGGAGTAAATATGCTGCTAATTAACCAGTCCTGTAAACAGAGTGGGAGAGTGGGCTCATGCCAACCGTGTGGGGTTGTAATGTTGTGAGCCATACTGCTGATGATTATCTGTTTAGTTGATACCAGGATGTTTGAACCCGTGTTTGTTTTTGTTTTTTTCTTCAGACCAATCGTCAGATCAGACTCAACGAGCTGCTGAAGGAGCACTCAAGCACGGCCAACCTCATCGTCATGTAAGCTGCTGCTCTGTTTGTCTGTGTGTGTGTGTGTCTCTGTGTGTGTGTGAGAGATGATTATCTACATCTCAAGGCCCTTTCAGACATGGCACATGGAACATTGCCGGCTTCGTCAATCTGTTCAAGTGACAGCATCCTAATCATTCACACATGGGTCACTTTTCCATTAATATTCCTCACAGCCATATGCAGGGATGTACAACGTATAATAATGGACTAACAAACTACATCTAAACTAATAGTAGCTGATCACAGAGTCCAAAAAACTATCAGTCCCGTTCATCTTTGATTTCTGAAACAGTGAAAGTGAAAGCTCAGGACTCAATCTAAGGACGGCAGCAGCTGATTTAATTGTGACTCTGTGACTGCTCACCTGTCTTGAGGTGAACTCCTGACTGATCGTTTCTCCATGTCGGGGATCATTTCTAATTAAATCTAATCAGTTAAGTTTCTGCTGTAGTGACTCTCTCTCTGTCTCTTTGGAGACACTTGTGGATCCTACCACCGTCTGATCCATTTTGCATGTGACAGCTCACCTGTCTGATGTGAAGGCATGTAGGCCTACACAGTGTGACATTGGATCCTGGCCCAGACTGATCTGCTCTTCATACTCCGTCTGGGTCAATTTTTAATTCTGAGAATTTATTGAAGTTACTGTTGCTGTTGTTCCACTTGTGCAAATCTCTCTCTTTGGACACACACATGGATACTGCTGCAGTCTGATGCTGCTGGTGTGTTTTAATTTTGGCACACAAACGGTGTGATGTTGGAATATTGGTAATGACATGTGGAAAAACTCTTTCCTTAATTACTTCACACAACTCAAAGTACCTTTGCTTGTGTGTGTCTATCATTAATGTGATGGCTCAGTTCAGACTGGTGCCGTGTTGAAAGTGATGCAAAAATATGACAAGGTCCAACCTAGTAAGATTAACCTTTACGAAAACATGAGCATGGTACGCATTCAGACACGAAGCTGACATGTTAAAATGCCATCAGACCAACAAAGCAGTGCTTGTCTGAAAGGGGCTCTGGAGACAAACATGTGAATTACAAAGACTCATGTCTTTGTAATTTGATAGCTCAGCTGATCACCTTGCCTTCAGTACCAGAGATAGCCTCCTCCTGACTACTCTGTAAATCTTCTCATTAGAGACCATATGGTCTCTATTTTTTTTAATCCTGCACCTGCTGAAATTCTCATCATACTGCTCCTGCAATGAGTCGTTTCACTCCTGCCTGCTCCCACAGACATTTTCTTGATTTAGAGCCACATAACATTGATTTTGTGTTTTCTCCCATCCTGCAGGGAAGAGACACTAATTTACAGTACAGCCCTTGTTTTCTTCAATTTCTTGTTCAATTAAATGCCTAGTACCACTAAAGGTATATTACCTGAAGAATGCAATAAACACCACAAAAAAAGCAGCTGATTACATCATACTTTATGTCCTATTTGACATGCTTATGCTTAATTGTATTCCCAGGGTGTATAAGAGGCCATTTCATGTCATAAGCAGCACTGTAAAGGCCTGGAGTGGTTTCCTGCTTATATTGAGGCTGTAGCACAACTTACAAGTTGTCAGCTCTCACATAATGCCTAAAACAAAAGAATTATGAACTTCTTTTGTTAACTGAGAAGTTGATATTTTTTTGTCCAAAGTGTAATTATTATGAGTAGAATTGTTTTGGTTTCAGCACTAAAACTCTGGTATGGCATCAACAATGTAAACATCAAGCTGCCCTGCTAACAACTGCTTTCATTTTGTCTCCTTCCCCTCTGCAGAAGCCTGCCGTTAGCCAGGAAGGGTGCAGTGTCCAGCGCTCTGTACATGGCCTGGTTGGAAGCGTTGTCCAAGGACCTGCCACCCACACTCCTGGTGCGTGGCAACCACCAGAGCGTCCTCACCTTCTACTCTTAAACACACACTACCAGGAAGAAAACCCATGTTTTTAAGTCTTACATCCACTTTTGCCTCTGGGAGCACACCCACCTACACATCCCAGTTCTAGTATAAACCTAAAGGTGCACCACATACACTCCAGAGATGGTAGAAAAGACGGCCACTGACGGAAACCAAGCTGGTGATATGAAAACAAAGTGATAATGTTTGAGACATGTTAAGGCGCTACGTGTGATGAAGGAATGTCAGGATTAGGGTGGGAGCTGCTTGTAAGGCTGTCCACTCGGCTCCTTTATTTCTTTTTTTTTTTTTTTATTCCAAGATGTCTGGGTTTTTCTCTTGTAGCTCTAGTTTCTTCTAATTTCCTCATAAAAGCTGTCATTTTTTTGTTCAAGTTGATTTCTCTCAGGCTCCAAAGCAGTAGTGCACAATGTTAACAGTGTCTGTTCTCACGATATGAAATATCTTGATGTCATACCTGTTAAGTTAATCAGACCAGTTGTTGTGTTTGTTGCAGCAATAATCACCCTGTTGTTTTCTTGAAATATTGGGAGAGAACCATACAGAACGCTTTGCAACACCCTCTTAAGCCTTATGGATGTGCCTTCCAGTTGAATCAGAATAAATATTTGTAATCTCTATCCAGATTGACAATATTACCTATTATGCTGGTGGATAATAGTTAGGGTTGTTTTTTTTTTAATTAGTTTTTTAATGTGATTAGTTGGAGCATTGTATTTATAGAGTGGATTGCAAGAATTTAACAAAGCGCATCCACTTGATTGCATGAACATTTTCTCAGTTAACTCTCTCTTTTACCTTAATCAGCATGTTTATTTTGTGACAGGTTTGTTCTTGTTTTGTTTTTTTTGTGTTTTTTTTCTTCACTTTTGAGTCTTCCTTTGTAAAGATGTTGACTATTTACAATAGCCTCAGCTACTTGACACAAGACACAATTTATCTTTTGGGCACAGTGCCTAGAAAAAAGTGTACATGGTCTTAAATTTAAGATCTCACTGTCTGTCAGAAAAGATGTGAATTTAGTTTGTCATTATCTCTCCCATGTAGCTGCTGATCCACTAAATTGTTTATTTTCAGCAACGGTTTTTTGTTTCTATGTCCACATGTATACGGTTCTTCCCCTGTAAAGAAACTCCTCTGTCCAACAAGCTAGTTAAAACCTTGCCTTAATGCTAGAACTAACGATTGTCATGAGTTCCTTTTCTCTTATAAGCCATACTGGCTGAATGGTTTGTGAGTAAATGCAGATAGGGATCCATTAGTCATTTGTTAGACGTGTCAGCACACTTGTCTTCTGTGCTGTATATGCATCTTAATTTTCTTCCTGTTGTCCACCTGCCTTAGTGTGTTACAGAGCTTGCTGTAGATCTGCGTGTTGCTGGTGAAGTGATCAGTATAGTAATATATATTCCACATTGCCAGAGTTGGCACCGCTGTAGACTGAGATATGTGCTAATGCAGGCTTGGCTGGCTGCTTGTTTGCTGTGTGGGTGTGCGGTGGACTGCCGGTCTCCCATCCCCACAAAGCCGACATGCAAGCTTTACACTGGAAGACTTTCTGGCAGAAGAATGTGTCAAGGCTGAGTGAAGATATACCTCTATGCATATGAGCTTGTGTTGCATAAGTACTTGTAATTAAAGTCTGCCGCTCCATCATATGAGGATCTGCTCGCCTCAGTTCATTGAAGGAGCACTTAAGGAACGTCCTTCTCATTTACTCTTAATTGTTACTATCACTGGTTTGTAGCCTTTCTGAGGGTACCTTGGCTCCAAACATAGCCATATATATAGTCCACCTCACATTCTGAGACTTGTGTTCTAAATAGGTCCTATGTGTTCTTTGTTCTACCTTGACCATAGGGAATAGTGGTCTGGCGTTACTGTTCTATATTATAACTGGTTACTGCTGTTACAAAGCTACAGGACAACTATTACTTGCTGAAGTGGTAAAGTTACAATGGTTTTAAAGGTATGTTCAGTCTGAATGCAATCTGGTGGATGAACCTGGTACAGTGAAAACACGAAGGCAAAGCTGCACCCACACGTGGAGAAAAATGATCCTTACCCCAAATCATTAGAACAGGGAGACAGACATTTGCAGAAGTCTTTAGAAAAATAGGTAAAGAAAGACATCATGAAGAAGTCATCAGAGGTAACTAAAGGCCGATAACAGCAGTCGAACTTGCTTCGATAACATGAAGGTGAAATACTTGTTCAGTCTGAACCCACCTTAAGGTTGGCTTAAGTTGTACCTACATAAACGAGTGCATTGCCCATAAAAATTCCATTTGAATTGCAGACAACATGACCAGCCATTGAGTAAGCAGGATAATGTTCTGCTCACAGTGCAGTTTGTCATAAAACATCTGTACAGGCCATTGCGGATGGTCTGCTGTTTTCTATTGTGAACAACATGGTTTTAAACTGCAATGCAATTCAGAATAAATAAGATCCATCATGGCTGCTAGGGGTTGGTAACATTCAAACTGCCACAAACCTAATGGAATAAAACAGGGTATTTTTTTGTAATGCACATCTTTTTTCTGTCTTGTTTCCCCCAGAAATAGACAGTTTTAACATTTACCGTGTTACTTCCATGTATTCTGTTCTTCCCTGTATGCAAATTCAGAAGAGGAATGTGCCACAATGCTTAGTTGAATGTATTGTATAATAATGAACACTAATGCTAGGAGTTAGCATACATAGTCACCGCCTTTGTTTTCCATCCTCATTTTTCAGAATAGACTGCAGTTAGCACCACATAGTGCAGTGTACCGTGTGCCTGCTTCATTGTGCTGGTAGCATTCACACAACTGCGTCCAACCTGCATCACAGCTCTGTGTGTTAGTGTGTACATGTGTCAGTCAGAGACGTGGGAAGGGGTTGCTGAGTGTAGATATGCATTCAGTACATACACCTTCTCTACTATTAAATATAACCATACTCATGCTCACCACATATGTGAAATTTACCCGAATAGTTTTCAAGTATGTAGAAAAAATGTGCTGGGTGAGCACTGCGAATCTTTTTAAAACTTTAAAGGCACAGTTGAACAGTCCTGGTTTAAGAGCACACACTAAAAAGAGAAATCCCCAAATTTTAATTTGCCTTTGTTTTTATATACGCAGCACTACAATCATATTCTATAATTCTACATGGAGAAAACTGTACATTTTTTTTCTCAGATTTGTTCTTGGTGTACATTTATGGACACATGCAGCCAAAAATATCCGCGAGTGAGAAGGAGATTTGACACTTGGGGGCACTGTTACGTACTAAAACAAAATGTAGGTGTGTATGTTGAGTCTGTTCATTGTTCTGCTGTGAAGCGTTCACTCTCCCTTAATGTTACAGAATGGCAACATTACAAACAAGAACACGGGTTACTCTATATTTGTATATTAAAGGAAATATATATGCATGCATGCATATATATATATATATAAATATATATATACACACACACATATATATATGTAAATGTGTCGGTCTGACCTGCAGGGGATCTTTGTCTTTAAAATGTC